GTTCAAATTCATTGAGACATCGCCAATACCTATGACCCGAGTTCTACTTGGCTGAGAAGTCAGATTTAATCTTTGCCTTACGGCGGAAGTTGTAAAGGTAGACTGACTCCCGCTGTCTAGCAGAGCTCGCACCATAAGAGTTTCCTTCGTAACAGGATTGGCAAGTTCGACTAGAGCGGTGCTTAGTAATATCTCCTTTGAATCAAGTGAGCCGAAAAACATTTGCTGCGATGGGTTCTCTCCGTCGTTTACGTTCTTTTCTTCCCATTCCAACTAAAATTATGCTAGCACAATCCTTACTCCTGTCCATTCTCGATTATGCGGATGCAAGCTATCTTGATTTAACCGAAGAACAACTAAATAAACTTGAGCGTATTCAAAATTTAGCTATTAGGTTCATATTTGGTGTACGCAAATATGATCACGTTTCCGAATTTCGTTCAATGCTCAAGTGGTTACCCATTCGTTTTCGCCGGAATCTACACACTGTCTCTCTTCTATACTGTGTATTATTTAACCCTGGGACTCCAAGCTATTTAAAGAAACACTTTAAGTTTCTTGGCCATAACCATCCAGAACGAGTTCTGCGATCAGCTGAAGATTTAATTCTAGCACCACATGCGTACAAAACTAAATATTATAAGAACTCCTTTACAGTTAAGGCCATCTGCTTGTGGAATGAACTTCCTCAGCAAATTCGTCGTTCGAAGACGCTAGACAAGTTTAAAATTGACGTAAAACAACTTTATCTATCGCTTTGTAATCCATAGTTTTTAATGGCAATATTCAGATTTAAGTCTTCTCTCGTGTATTTATTTACATATATTATATATTTACTTATGTTTATGTATGTTTATTATAATTTTGTTTATCTTATTACATTTAAGTCTATTTTGGTATTAAGTAAGTTTATTGAGCACACCACCTCCCACTATTCATTAGTTTATTTTTCCTCGTCCTAAGGTTGTCTGGAAGAGATCGCTTTTTAGCGATAAGACCGCCTTATTGTACCTAGCTTTCAAATTCTAAAAAATTTTCAAATTCTTGTGTACAATAAAGTATATAATAAATCTCCGGCGAGACTTTCGCCGACATTGCTACGGTACGAGACACACCGGGAACATCCGATTTCTGCTCATCAGGCCGACTGTGCAACAGAGTATTATGCTTTTGCTTACAGTAACGGCATGTACCGTAGAGCCTACAGTGCCGTGAATTGTGACCTACTCGCAAGCAATTGGCACACAACCTTAACGATTCCACTAAACTCTTTCTCTCTTCAATGGATTTCTCCTTAAATGAGGAACAGTCATGAATGTCGCTTCAACCATCGATTTCGTGTGTGATCTTGTGGGTTGGGGAACCGAGAGATTGAAGGGCTTATTTCGAACGTCCTGCTTATTTCTTTGTGTCGTCTCAAGGACGTCGGCACGATTTTTAAGAAAGGTAAAAAATTGATCTAGCGTTGGTATTTCAGGTAAATTATTTCTATACTCCTCCCACTTAAAGCACGTCCCGTTGTCAAGTCTTTGCGTGACCATATAAATGATTAATACATGCCATGTATCCGTAGGCAAGCCTAGGGTCCTAAGAGCCCGTAGGTTTTTAGTGACGTGATCTATTATAAAACGAAGCGACTTATCGCTTTCGCGTACACTTTCGAAGCTATGTAATGACCTTAAGTGATTATTTATTAGCTGACGTTTATTGTCATATCTTTTACACAAAAGTGACCAGGCTTCAGAGTAATTGGTCTCGGTTACCTCGAGATTACTCAAGACACGAGCGGCTTCACCCTCAAGGTAAGCAGTTTAAATAATGAAATTTATGTATTTTATTAATTTTAGCATTATCATGTACTAGCGATACAAACGTTTCCTTAAATTCAAGCCATTTAAAACATGTGCCGTCGAAATCAGGAATTTTCTATTACCGGCAACTTAAAATTAATATCGTCAGAACACAGCAGCACTGTCGAATTCGGGTTTTTTATATGTGTCAATAATATTCTGAGCAGAGGCTAAACAGTAATAAAAATCTGATTCAATTAAATCCCTAGTATTTAACTCGAATTCTTGAGTGGCTACATTCGAAAGTTCTAATTGATTCTGGAGCTCGTCAAATTCAATAAATAACTCTTGAAATTTGCATAATTTCAACGCAAGCTTAGATATATCTAAAGGCGATGTAGTGTCCTGTGTAAGCAAAGAATCTATATTTGATTTAAATTTAGTAACGCGTCAACGTATTGAGCCACGCTTAGCAATTAAATCTTTTGTTTTGTCTTCCGACATAGCGTAGAAAAAATAACCTTGCGTTGAACTCGATCAGATGTTTTACTAGGTAACTGGGTCAAGATTACGTCACGCTCCTCCCTCCGCTGCTCCCTACCCCGCGTGGGCCTGATGCAACGCGCTGGGAGACCGTTAACAATCAGCTGTCGTCAGTCTTAAATGCAACGCTTGCGCAGGATGCTCGTCGCACGTGTGACGTGTCGCACGGTATGAAGGCAGCGTGTTCGCTGGAACAGATTTATGTACCGCTTTATAATAATACGTGACAGTGAATAGTAATAGGAAAGTGAGCTAGGTATGATTAATGAAAGTGGTCGATTAAGATTGAAAGTGATACGATATCTATGTACCTTCAAATCGTTTTAATTTGCGGAGTGGGACGATAAAGTTTTAGTTTATAATGCTATAACAGGGAACAAAAGTAGATTGGTAGTTTGTTTTTTTGTTGTTTGCAAATAAGTAGTGGGTAGCTGTACGTGAGATAATTGTGATATGCGATGTAAGCTAGCAAAATCTGATTCGCGCGTTTGTAAAAATTAGCTTTTTTATGCCGATTTAAGCACAAATCGAGGAACTAATTTCATTGACATCAAAATAAAAGAGGAGTTGTACTAAGAAGTAGATAGGAACGGACTCACAGTTTGGTAGCCAGACAGGCGGCGCTGAGCACGGTATTTCCATGCTGCAATGCTGCTCACTGCTGGCCGCTGGCTGTAACGTGTGATTTCATCACTTTGTCTAAATTGTCGTTTTTCTAAAGACTAGGCTGCATGTCATATGAACCTTTGCCTGTTCGAAAGGACGAATGTAAAAGTTAACTTCATTTGGTCGTACTTGTCATTTGAGATTGCCGCCGGTTCGAATTGACATTGGATAAATTAGTTTTTGTGGATCCATTATCTTCGACTGTGCATAGCTAGAGGTTGAAATCAGAACACGTTTCTGGTCGTATTATTTGTGATTGCTGTCTGGGAAACTGTGCTGGATTTGTTATCCCTCGTGGTAAGATCCTTTGTTATTTTCACTGGTTTCCTACTAAAATTGTAAAAGACTTGCATTGTGAATGTATTTAGAAATGTCACATGAAGGTAGGTTGAGAATTTATTGTCTCGTGTTTCTAAGTATGGTTTTTCGAATATCACAGGTGGATGCTGAAGGCATAGGTGGCTGGCAAGCTGGTCTGAGCTGCTGCTCTATTAAATATTGTTTTTTACCTCCAGTTGGTAAGTGTTTCACATCTTATAAGTGTAGGTGGATTCAAATCCCTGCCTTTGTTAGTTCTACAATTTAGTGTTTGTTGGCAGGAGGTCTCCTATATACCCCCAATAGTGTGGCTGTACACACTACACTTGGCCTGACTTTCTCTACTGGTTCTGAGCTCAACGCTGACCTGTGCACACAGGGCAGATGTCTCTGCGGTGACATAGATTTAAAATAACTACCTGATTGGACTTTATTTTTAAATTGAATTGCATAAGTTTTACCATCTCAAATTAATTTAATTATTTAACCTTTTATGGTCGCACAAAGTAATGTGTAGGTCCTATGTACTCACGACACCCTGAGATACTTAATTGTGATTATTACAACAGTCTGTTCCTAACAGACAAGGCGCCCAACTTATTAATATTATTACATTATAAAATATATTGTATCTGAGCTAGTCCAGGGATTGTAACTTTAAATTGAAGGGATAAATACAAATTCTTAACCGCTAATAAATCTTTTATTAAATCTTCCCATCATTATCTAGACACCCACTATAAAAACGTTACATGGCTCAGTAGATCTTGATCGCGTGGAACTTAATCTCAGCTTAGTAGGCAGACAGGCGGTGCTGAACACGTCGTTGACGTGCTGCTGTGCTGCTGACTGCGTTCGTACGCTGTAGATCTTGTTGTGTAGAATGGATGACCGATGTTGATAGGCAGACAAGCTGTGCTGAACACGTAGATTACGTACTGCAATGCTGCTGACTGCTGGTTACGGTAGCCCGGTAGGTAACGTAAGCGGGAACAAAGAATCTTCTTCTTTTTCTTCAATAGGGATTAAAAATCCTGTCACGGTCGCCAGTTCTTGTTCAGGATAGAACAAGGAAGAAGAAACAACGCTTCTGAAGGTGTTATATTAATATAATTTCAATAAAAAATAATTAGCCTTGTATTTGTATGCGAGTCCGTTACGGTTGGAAGGTCAGTGCGAATGTACGAATTTGAATACGAGTCGTTAACCATCATGAGCCAATATATTTAAAATCTAACGGTCGCCTCTACACGCGAGTGTCACAAGTATTAAAAACAGTCTATGATTTATACATAAATTTATACATATTAATAAATTTAGTTTTATTTATAATTTAAGTTGTCTGTAGCGCAGACATATATATATATAATATAGGTAACACAATAAGGGCGGTGAGAAGCTGCTTGAAAATACTTATTGAATATACAAGACAGCCTGTGAAGTATATAAGTAATAGGGATTATATAAATATATTCAGGTATACAGGAAATAATTCTGTAAGAAATACGGCTCGTAATGGCCAAATAATAAGGTGGTTGATAATAGACTAAATAATTTCAAGAAGCTTGTGTTCCATCGATCCTGGACTGTAAAAAGGATGCTGGTGAAAAGGAAAGGGCGTTCATTACATAAATTGCACGCCTACCTTAGTAACTGCAAGGCGCCTTCTCCGTAGCTACTTCAGGATTCAACTCCAGATGCAGATGTTGTCGAGGTGGCGGTCGAATTTGCGGTCGTCCTTTCCTTTAGTGCGCACAAAGCTTCCCTATCACCTTTAATATATTTTATAAGATCGCGGCGCGGCTCGCGGCGCGGCGAGTTAGTATTGCTCTCGTGCCGACTGCTCTTGGCGCATTATATATGCAATACGTAGGCTTGCGGGGTGAGGGGGGTAAGAACGCCCGAGAAGGATTTAAGAGCTCAGAGGGTAAATGTGATTTTTTTTGATAAACGGCGCTCACACATACATTTCTATATTTTGCATAACTCGTTTGGAAGTTGACTATAACTACTGCGGAAGGTCGATCGCATTCATTAAAGTTCAATAGAGGAGAGTAAAATAAAGTAAAAAGCAGTTGCAGCTGAGATTACTTTGAGTAAAGTTAAGTAATGTAACAGGCAATACATGTCCCACTGCAGGGAAAAGGCCTCCTCTACTCGTATCGGCAAGCGCCTCCCCCTTGCTCTCAACTGCTTCTGCCCATCGATGTGTAAGGTAGACCAGAACCGGCTGAGCGACCCCGACGATGTGAATGTTGATAATGTGTTTAGAATCGCGCATATACATCCTTGAATATAAATTAATGACGTGTTTAAAATTAGATAGATTAGAATTTATTACTTTAATCGCAGTATAATAGAAACAACAGAGAGTTGCAAAACCTGTCACTGATCATCGGCAAGCGGGTTCCAGCCTAGTTCTGCGGCGGTGCTTTATAGCTGTGCCTTGACATAACACGCCTCTCACGTAAATAAATAATTTTGAACAAAAAGAAACCGCCTTTAAACAGGAAACTAAGAACATTGTCAACACCTATAACATTTGAGGATTGCCCTAGATTTCTCTGGGATGCCATCATCAGATCTGGGTTTCCTTATAACGGTACCACACTTGGGATATCTCCTTTCCAACAAAAAAAGAATCATCAAAATCGGTTTATAAATGACGAAGTTATCCGCGAACACATAAAAAACATAAAAATGTATACGGTGGAATTGAGAAACCGCCTTCTTTTTTTAAGTCGGTTAAAAAGAAGCTGTCAGATCGCCAGTGATGGTGACAAAAACAAGTGTTGCGGGTTTTTATCGTCAAAGGGGTCACGATTTAAGTAAAAATATATCCTAGGATATCCCGTAAAATAGTTTTTAGGGTTCCGTACCCAAAGGTTAAAACGGGACTGTATTACTAAGACTCCGCTCTCTCTGGCTATCTCATGAACCGCGATAGTTGAAATTTTCACGGATGATGTATTTCTGTTGCCGCTATTACAAAAAATTGAACAGAATAAAAATATATTTAAGTGGGGCTTCCATACAACAGACATGATATTTTTGCCGTTTTTAAACGGTTTTATTTAGCTCGACCCGTACGGAATTTGTTTGTTTATTTATTTGGGTCAAAATTAGAAATTGAAATTTAAGCACCTTGCCGTTGTCAGATTGATCTGAAATTTGGTACACACATTTAATTTAGATGACAATACAATATTAACAAAAAAAATCGTTTAATTTAAAAGTTTTTTAAAGTAATTTCTTGTTATAAATAATGGTACTGAACCTGGTTTTCGCTTTGCTGCTTTTTTCTTTGCTTATAGAAACTGACTGGAACCTACCCATGACCTACATGAGACAACAAAGATGATAATAACAAAATTCAATACTTACTCTTCGTGTAACTTGCGCTGAACATCAAGATTACACCCAAGCATGAGGAATATGAAATTGAGAGCAGACGCAGTGGTCTCATGGCCCGCTAGCAAAATCCTGGTCACTGCATGTTTGATCCGCTCTTCAGTCAAAGTGGAATCTGTTTCCATCAGCTCCAACAGAACATCGAGGAACAAAGCGGCAGACTTTCTGCAGTCTAAGGTTAGACAGGAATATGTCATATTAATTATATTATACCTTATATAATATAATTTTTAACAGATATCGTGACTTTTAAAAAAAATAAATGTATTCGTATGATGTTCTTGCTAAGCTTTTGCCCAAGGCTTCTTCAGCGTGCACTCGCACGAGGAACGGGATTTACATGCAAATTAAATCTACCAATTTACTCCCTTTGGAGACTTATTTCATCCCTAAGCGTACCATATGCGGCTACTTGTGGAACCGAAATGAAAAAGGTCGTGTTTGTAAAAGTGAACGTTGCTAATGCTAACCTAAATTATCTTTCAATGCAAATGTAGATGAGTAGGTACATTCACCTTTTTGTACTTTCTTGTTCGATATTCTTTTATTTTTCATGTCGCATACCTTTTGAAGTATAACCTGAAACAATTTTATGTTCATTAGTAAACTAGTATATTAGAGCCGTGATAGCTCAGTGTCCGGGCGCTCGCCTTTAATTCAATATATACTCGAGCAACCTGAGCTCGATCCCCGGTGCCGGCACCAATGAAGTTTTTAACTTTAAGTGCTGAATTGTCACGTGCTCTGCGGTGAAGGAAAACGTCGTGAGGAAACCTGCATATTTTCGTAATAATAACAAAAAAAAATGTATTTCGAAGATATGTGAAGACCTCCAGTCCGCAGTGGGGCCGCGTGGTGGACTATGCCCTGATACCCTCTGTATAGAGGAGGCCTTTGCCCAGCAGTGGGGCATGTATAGGCTGATACTTTACTTTACCTTTACTTTTAAACAGCATGCAAATGTCCAGAAGATATATTTTTATAATACAGTTGTCTAATTTTTTTTTTTACATGTAAAAAATCGTCCTACAATTTTAATAGATATATTAATTAATTAATGCATCGATTTTAAACAAAAAAATAATATATGAAATAATAGTAACAACATTAATCAGGTATTACAATTTAAAAACTCATTTATTGTGTAAAATAGTTTCTCTAGTAGCCATCGTCGTAACGAAATTTTAAACATATTATATGGTAATTGTTTTATATGTGAGGGTATCTTGTTATAAATAGTATTGCACATTGCATAGCTATTTTTTTAAGCGCTTACTTTTAGGAATTGTATCTAGTACTAATTTATCTTGGTTCCGTAAGTTTATTTTTGTCACATCTTTAGCTTGTAAAAATATATTCTGGTTTTGTTTTACAAATTTGCAAACCTCAAATATATAGAGACAAGGAAAAAGAAGTATATTACGCGTATACAAATCTGTTAATTTTGTTACACACTTTATGTATATGTTCCTTCCAATTTAGATAAGAGTCTATAACTAAACCTAGAAATGTTGTATTATTAGCATTCCGCAGTAATTGTCCATTATATTTAATATTTATGTCAAAATTTAAGTTATTAAAGTTAATCATATGTGTCTTACTTAAATTAATGTGTAGATTATTTTTATTTAACCATTTATTTATTAAATTCACTGTTTTAATTATGTCTGTTTTATGTTGCTCTAGTGATTTTTTCTTACTTGTCGTAATCGTCACTGAGATGTCATCGGCGAATAAAGTGATTTTGTAGTTTGAGACATCGGGTAAATCATTTATATATAATATAAATAGCAATGGTCCAAGTATACTACCTTGGGGAACGCCAAAAGTGTTTTTTTTTTTAATTCCGATCTATATACCTGAGCTATGTTATTTCGATCTAATTGTGTTATTTCAACACATTGTGACCTATTTTTTAAATAGCTTTCTAGCCAGCTGTAAGCAGGACCACTTATTCCATTAGCCTCTAATTTGGCAAGTAACTGATCATGTGAGACACGATCGAATGCTTTAGACATATCAAGAAATAGTACTGTTGTATAATTTTTTTGATTCACATTTTGCAAGACTTCCTTTACTAACGTAAACGCAGCATGTGTTGTCGATTTCTTTTTTATGAAACCATGCTGATTTTGTTTTATTACATTAAATTTAGTGAAAAAGGAAGTAAGTTGGTAGTGTATAACTTTTTCGAATAATTTTGAACGGACTGGGTCTATTGCTATTGGTCGATAGTGAGTTATATCACTTTTATCTCCCTTTTTGAGTAACGGTTTTACTATTGAAAATTTTAATTTGTCAGGAAAAGTCCCTGCTTCTAGAGAGAGATTAATTAGAAATGCGTTACGAATATGTTCCGTATTTATTTAATTTTGAGAGTTATAATTTTATTAGATGTTTCGAAAACACCAAACTAAACAATATATATTCACATATTTCGTATTTTTAATTATTTGTATGTATTAACAAGTACAGCGTAATAACCAACCATACCAAATCAAACCAAAACCATATCTAATACTAATGGTAATAGTTTTAAAAACATAACGTTGTTTCCGTTAAACGAACCTAGCATTTCATAGGCTTCTAATAAAGCCAGGAACATTAATTATCTTTTTAATTGTCATTTTAAATTCTTTATAATTAAATTATCTTTTAACACCAGTCGCACTTTTTAAATCCTGGACTTACAAATAAGCTTACGTGGCAATTGAAGTCGCTCTCAAATAGACGCTACAGTGGTTCTCCACTACTCGCCCTAATGTCCGCTAAAAAATTTAAACACGATGATGTTTTTAATTGGGAAAAGGTGATTTCGCTTACCGTTTCCAACAACGTTATTGACACTCCTGACACAAGAGTTATATTCTTTGTACGATGATGTTAGGCGATACACAGTGTCCGAGTGCAGTAAAATGTTCATGAACCGATCTACCATCAACTCCGTTATTCGGATAAAAGCTTGGAAGAACTTCTCATCGATCAAATCCTCGGAAGAAATCACCCCAAGAGTCGTTTCCGAAACAGTACGTTAGTGGGTATTTAAGTATGTGTCTCTTCGGCACGCTGAGGCACGGATAGGACTTTATGAAGCCAATGAGAAATATACATTATAGACATTACTCATTACAACAAAAAACACACCTCTGTTGTGAAGCGTCTACGGTTGAAGAAGTCTGCAGCTTGTTCGTGATCAAATCTTAGCCATATTGAATCTAACATTAGCACTACACATGACGACAAGATCAATTAAATAGTTTTATTTACAGTGTTTGCGCCTTAAGCCAGGCGTTGGAATGCTTTCAAATGTATCTGAAATGAAACTTACCGCAGGCCGCTCTAAACGTTGTTTTTGCGAGATACTTGTACTGAATGTCTAAGGGAGCACCGTTACACTCAGCTTTGAGGCTTTCGACCAACCTCCGCGAGTGATTGTTGAATGTCTCCTGAAACGACTCTATCATGCTCGCTCTGAAAGCGCCGCCAAGCTTCTTTATGTTATGCTTCCAAATTATACCTGAAAAAATGTTCAGTTTAGTGATTCTCGTTTCTTTAGTTCCGTATACACCTACTCTTCTTGTAAAATTAATTTTATTAAACATACGAGGAAAGTGCATAAAGGTACAAAATTTGTCCTGGCGTATTTGTGTTACCCAATACAGCGTGTCGTTACCATCGCGAAAATAAATGAGCACACGTCTAACGCTACTTGCCAATAATAATAATAAAATATAAACGTTATACAAAATCCATAATTAAAAAAAATATTTTTCAAACAAACTAAGTAAACAAGAAATTACTTTAAAAAACTTTTAAATTAAACGGTTTTATTTTATGTTTCTTTTTTTGTTAAATTTTTTTTTTTTGTTAATATTGTATTGTCATCTAAATTAAATGTGTGTACCAAATTTCAGATCAATCTGACAACGGCAAGGTGCTTAAATTTCAATTTCTAATTTTGACCCAAATAAATAAACAAACAAATTCCGTAGGGGTCGAGCTAAATAAAACCGTTTAAAAAGAAACAAAATTTGTAACATCCTATACAACTCGCGCCACAGCGTCGCATTACAAGCCTCTCCTTCGAACAGTATGTTTTGTCTCTTTTAAATTCATTCAACCCATTCATATGCTTTGTGACCTTTACAAATGAACTTTACGTTACGCTTTTATAGGTAAGGGTGTTCTAAAATTCTTTGCTTTGGAAAATTTAATAACTCTGTAAATATTGATGTTTAAAGAATTTAAATATTTAAACTTTAAAAAGTTATCCCCTATATGTGTGTTAATTTATTGTCGCGATGGTAACGACTCGCTGTAGATCTGATGGTGCGTTCGGATAGACACGGAACTGTTCAAAATATGACAGCAAATAAACCGCGATTGATGATGTCGCTTAAATGTGCATTGTTTTGCGCAATCACACAATATAACATAACGTCTGGACACTCGAAAAGGTTAAGCAGATGTTCTTTTTTTTGTTAAAAAAAATTTTTTCCTTTCACTCCTTCGGTATATGATTAAACAAATATATTTTAATTGCCATATTTCATTCCTAGGAGACATTTTCTTATGCACCATTATTTCTATTGTCTATCTAACTGAGAATGAAATATGCAATTGCAATTACCACTAGCCACCACAAATTTCAATTTTAAATACTCGTCATCTCGCAAACAGATGTCTAAGAAATTTTTTTCTGGATCCCGTATTACATACTTTAATTTTTAAGAAGAATTACACTTCTAGGGAAACAAAACAAAACAGTTTTCCAAGTATTATATCACTTTTATTAGACAAAAAGAAATCTGTCATGTGTGTAAAACTAAACACACCCTCTACACCGTATTCGCAACAGATTCCCGCTCGTCGGTCGCAATAAAACATCCATTTGTAACGTCATCTTGTCGGCCTCCGAAACAAACTCGTACTCCCTCAAGCAATGCACCAGCATCGTCTTAATGAAGTTCATGGCGTAACGTCTGCCTGTAATATCACAATGCCGCGAATTATTCTCTTGACTACAAGTTGAATTACGAACAGATTTAATGGAGCCCTTGCCTATGCAAACCCGCTTGCCTACGCTGAAATTCAGCAAGGCGTTGACATGCTTAGAGGCCGTCGAAGGGTCCAGCCATCGCTCGGGCTTGTACAGCAGGGCGTCAGGGCCCCAAATGTGTTTAGAGCGTCCACTGCCCCAAATATTGAAAATGCACGTCGTTCCCTCAGGGATTGTACAGGAATCTGTGCATTATATCAGAAATTAGTATATTCAAGAAGATTGTTATTAACAAGACCGCGGAAGTCATATCTAATCAGACATATATATATATATATATTGACTTAGTCGGTTTCTTATATATTGACTTTTTAATTTATTTGTATTTACGTATTTTTACTTGTTATGAAATTTCCCTTTGAAACTACTTAGTAGATCTTACCTACAAAAAGCAATTGGAATTCATGTGGTTACGTAAAAGCTTGTTATTATATTTTGTGAATGTGTCTTTTGTATAAGTTAACCTGAAATAAAGCGGAAGAAAATTAGAGCTTAGATATTTTTACTTGATAACGGTTAATGTTAATGATGTCGGTTATATAGTTCTACTTAATTTTCTAAATGAATAAGCATGGCGAGTAGATAAATTTACCCGTACGCAAATTTTATTTTTCCGTCGCTAAGGAACGGCGTAAGTTTCAAAAACTTTGTATAGATATACACGATACGTGAAGTGACACGTCTATACACGTGGGTTCTCAACCAGGCGCCTGCCGTCGCTTAGGGAGGGCGTATTTAACATTTTGGCGCAAATTCAATGAAGACATGGTAATCGATCAAATTATGCAAAACTCTCTCAAAACAGATAGTCACTTTAACTGCTGAACCAGCCATATTTATCACTTACCTCATATCACGATCTACCGTCTACATCGGCAGGACTAAGTAGAGAATCAATCGTATCAAATCTAATCTAGCATTTTGAACGTTTTCTGGAATTTTGTTGCAATAACGTAGGTATACATTGTCCCATAAAACATTTACTTATTTTACGCAGTCTACTTGTGGGTAGGATCAATTTATTTTTGTTCCTAGTATTTATATCATGAACATTATTATGTCTTGAAAATTTATCCTTATTTTTATGGACATACAAACATTTTCAAAAATGTATTGAGAAGCAACAGTCAATACCTTTATGTCTTTAAACAAGTTTCTTAATGATTCTTTGGGGCCCAGATTGTAAACTGCACGAATAGCTCTCTTTTGTAAGATGAAGATTGTATTACTGTCGGCCGCGTTACCCCAAAGCAGAATGCCATAAGACATTATACTGTGGAAATAACTAAAATATACCAAGCGAGCCGTATGTACATCAGTTAACTGTCTTATTTTTTTGACCGCTGCTGAGCTAAGTCTACTCGCCAGTCTATTAATATGGGGGCCCCATTGCAGTTTGGCATCAATAGTTATGTTAAGGAATACAGTTGAGTCAATAGGGTCCAACGCTTCCCCATATAAAAGAACATCAGTTTTTACATGTTTAACATTGGAAGTTGTAAATTTAATACATTCAGTTTTTTTATTATTCAACAGTAAATTGTTAGCACTAAACCAATGTACTACAGTGGATAGAGTATTGTTTACATCGTCATAACTTAAAGAACGTCGTTTTACTTTAAAAATTAAAGAGGTATCGTCAGCAAACAATACTATCTCATGATTATTATTAACTAGATAAGGTAGATCATTTATGTAAATGAGGAAGAGAAAAGGCCCAAGAATAGATTCCTGCGGGACCCCATATTTACCAGGGCCCCAGGAGATCTCTTGCCATTCACGTCAACTCTCTGAATTCGATGGCTCAAGTACGATTTCAGAAGATTGAGTGCGGTATCTCTTATACCATAGTGGCGTAGTTTCCTGACCAAGGTCTGATGCTGTACACAATCGAAAGCTTTGGTTAAGTCACAGAATATACCAAAGGCATCCTGCGACTCTTCCCAGGCTTCAAAAATATTCATAACAAGCTGAAAACCCGCATCCGTTGTTGAGCGACCCCTAGTAAACCCATAATACTTGTTATGTAATAAATTATGAGAGCTAAAATGCTGTAACATTTGATTAAATATGACATTTTCAAAAATTTTACTAAGAGTTGGCAGTACAGGGATAGGTCTAAAATTATTGGGGTCGGAAGTACTACCAGATTTAAACACCGGAATGATTTTACTATGTTTCATAAGGCCAGGAAATTCGCCACGATTGATACAAATATTAAAAATAGTTGCTAGGTAAGGCGATATAACATCAATAATAGAACTGATCACCTTAACCGAGATCCCCCATAGATCTGCAGAGAACAGGTTGTCACTCCATCTATTGGGTGTCGTCCTATACTGCGATGGCCAGTACGAGGCTGCCACTCGAGAACCTTTCTTGCCCAACGGTTATCAGTTCTACGAGCTATATGGCCGGCCCATCGCCACTTCAGCTCACTAACCTTCTGAGCTTTGTCGGTTACGTTTGTTCTACTGCGGATGTCTACATTGCAAACTCTATCATGCAGAGAAATAACGAGCATAGCCCGCTCCATAGCTCGCTGAGCGATTTTGAGCTACCTCATACGGCCAGCAGTGAAGGACCACGTATCAGTCCCGTATGTCATCACTGGTAGCACACACTGGTTGAAGACTTTAGTCTTCAAACATTGAGGTATATTTGGCGAGAAGATTTGCCGAAGTTTCCCGAACGCTGCCCATCCGAGTTGGATTCGCCGATTGACCTCTGCGTCGAAGTTGGACTTACCTAGCCGGACTAAACGTCGGTAAGATCGAAAAATATTATACATATTTCATTACTCAGTAATTTGTATCTAAATGTAATTTCTAAAATACACGATTTACCAAAAAAAAAAACAAACCGAGCAAAGCTCGGTCCTCCGGGTACTCTTATCCTTTAAACGAGCAATTCTTGTATATATGTATATATATATATATATATATATATATATATATATATATATATATATATAATCGGAATCTCGGAAACGGCTCCAGCGATGTTCATGAAATTTAGTATGTGCGTAGATTCCGGGGCGAAAAATCGATCTAGCTAGGTTTCATTTTTAGAAAATGCCCTTTTATCCCTGTTTTCAGGGAATGAAAAATATAATTCGAATATGACGGTAAATTTCGCCGCAAGAGAAAATGTCATAATAGCTCGGTCGGTAACCGGGCGGCCCCTAAACAGACGGCCATGGTTCGCGTCACAATCATTTACACATTTATTTTTTTACTTTTTTTTCGAATCCAGATCATTATTTTCTTTATTTTTAATTTTTCGTCGATTTGTTATTTTGTCTTTTTTTCCTTTTTTTTTCAAAGTTCTTTCTTTTGTGAAAAACACCAGTTCATATTTTCTTATTATTACGTCGGTAAGATCGAAAAATATTATGCATATTTCATTACTCAGTAATTTGTATCTAAATGTAATTTCCAAAATACACGATTGATCAAAAAAAAAACAAACCGAGCAAAGCTCGGTCCTCCGGGTACTAATTCTTATTTACACAAGTTTACAAGATTATTTGGGTATAAAATCATCATAATCGTATTATTGTTAGGTCAAGGTCCACTGGAGAGGTTTTAGTGGGTGGGGATCCAACCTTTTTGAAGATTTCCCCCGATAACAAAAGAATACAAAAAAATGTTTATTTATTAAGGGTAAAACGATAATAATCTCAAAATTACCATTGACGAATACATACAAAGTTCATTACTTTTAGTTTTATCAGCCAGTTTATTCTCATTAGCGTTGTTTTAATGAATAGTAATTAATTATGATAATGGAGTATATTATGTTTATTATGCAAATTGCTTTTTTGTAAATCACATTTTTAAATGAACTAAAAAGATCGTAAAACGAAAAAGTATTCAAATTATCTAAGCATTTTTAAATCTATTTTGTTAAACAAACAGTTAACCGAACCAGAGCCTTGACTCGATGTAAGGACAAACGATACTACGACAGGCTAACGCCCGGTTTCTGAAACACAGTTCGTAGAAGTTAACTAATCACCTGTAAAATGGCTTTAAAATGTCATTTGAGTTGCCCAAAGGATGGTTAAACTATTAGAATTGATAACTATTAGATTGATTCTGATCATTAATCAGCCTTTTGGCAAGTCAAATAACATTTGAAAAGCCATTTGACAGCTGATTAGATGACTTCTACTATGATCAGTGTTTCAGAAACTGGGCGTAATTGTTTGAGAATTAATCAGCGTTCCGCGTCAACTCACTGAGCTCGACATCGTGGTCGACGTAACGCAGAACAGCCGGCACCGGCGGATACAAACGCAACGTCTCGTGGATGACAGCCTCGCAATAGACCAAGCGGCCGAGGTCTTCCTTTGATACGGGGCGCTTTATGTCACCAAATACGTGGCGGATTCTGAAAGGCAAACAAGCTGACGAATTAAAAAAAAACCGGCCAAGTGCGAGTCGAGCTCGCGAACGTACCGTACCATTATCTATAAAAACGGCAAAAAAATCATGTCTCTTGTACGGGAGGCTCACTTAAATATTTTTTTATTCTGTTTTTTTAGTATTTGTTGTTATAGCGGCAACGGAAATACATCATCTGTGAAAATTTCAAATGTCTAACTATCACGGTTCATTAGATACAGTCTGGTGACAGACGGAGAGACGAACAGACAGATAGTCAGCGGAGTCTTAGGAATAGGGTCCCGTTTTACCCTGTAGGTACGGAAACCTGTTATTGACGAATATAAATAATTAAAAACGAAACCTGATAATTATGAAGCAACCCCAGAAAGTACACGAGAAACATAACGTCTTAAATAAATAGTTACAGAATGAATTAAGACTTACTCTTTATACAATTTCCTCTGAACGTCCGGTCTACATCCGAGTATGAGTAAAATGAAATTAACAGTAACCGCGGTGGTCTCCTGGCCCGCCAGTAGAACCGTAGTAACTTCGGATTTGATCTGCTCTTCAGTCAGTGTGGAATCCGTTTCCCTCATCTCCAACAGAATGTCAATGAACGACCTTGTCGAATCATTCTCGGAAACTAGACGTACAAGCAAGTTTAGTTATTGCTAAAAGTATCTCCGACCATTTACTACTCATTATTATTATACTTCTTGTGTTATTTTCAAAGTTAATAGAAACCATTGACAAATATTAGATTCATTCAGTTTATAGTCATTAATCTTTACATTCATCAATTTCAGTTTATCACATCTATCATAATTGTTTAGATCTATGCAACTAATTCTTAACCATTATTACATTCACCTACCCAGACTTCCTTTATATACATCTCCTTTACTTTCGATGTCGGAGATTCTTTGTCTTAAAACCTGCAATGAACTTAGATTTATAATAATTGTAATAATAATGGCAATAATAATATTTGGCGGAACAGACAATTTTAAATTTTTCATCTAAAACCTGACGCTAACGGAAGAAGATAGAAGAATTAAGTGTTATCTGGAACTAGAAAGCTAGAAGCTTAATAAGGAATAAATATGGAGATATGTAAAAAATAATGGTATTACGGCCGGATACAGTGGAATTTCACGTCGTGAAGTGATTTTTCTATATCGGCATTGCGACGGACATAATATCTTTAACTCACCTTTTCCGTAATATTGCAGACCGTTCTAGAGCACATTTCGAACTCTCTGTAAGCCGGTGTCAAGCGATACACAGCTTCGGAGTGTAGAAACATGTTCGTGGCTCGGTCTGCGATCAGCTCCAGCGCTCGAATGAATGCACGAGTGAACTTCTCATCTACTATGTCACCATCAGCAGATACACCGAGGGCGGATTCTAAACGATTTCTTAATGGTGTTTATTAGTTTCACCTTCAGTAGCATTAATTGAAAGCAATTAAAGTGAAATCATAGAAGTATATACGAATAACTTGCATGCCTTTGCGTAATTACGTTGTTTATGACATTTACTGTCGTCATCATTTCCGTGAATATATTTGTATGCCTAAGATTGATACAGCGCATCACCAATGCTTCAGACAATTTATACTATATACTAATATATTACAGCGCATCGCCAATGACGGCCCGAATGGCGCAGTCGGTAGTGTACCTACCTTCTGTCCAGAAGGCGTGGGTTCGATCCCCCACTACTGGAAAAATATTGTGTGATGAACATAGTGTTTTTCTAGTGTCTGGGTGTTTATATATCTATAATATGTATTTATTTACAAAAGAAAAGTATGTTTAAGTATGTATATCAGTTATCTAGTGTCCATAGTACAAGCTTTGCTTAGTTTGGGACTAGAGAACGTTGTGTAAAAATTTCGTTTCCCCCGCTACATGAATATGTGAAAACGAAATGCACTCATTAAGATTCTATTCTAGCAGCTGATAATTTATTAGATCTCTGTAATTATAATTACAACAAATTTGAATCATTCACAAGCAAAAATACATGTTGTTGCTCCAACTCACATTCTCCAAAGAAATTAAAAATGCAGAATATATCTGCAGACAAGTGTAGTGACTTGGTCATACATAAAGAACACAATCAGCCATCTAATTACAAATGTGAAAATAAATTACATTCATCAGCTGTCAAATTGTCTAATATGTCCAACAATAAAATAATAATTGTATCAGATATTATAGGGCAAGGTTTTGGTTCTTTATTATCCAGGCATGTAAGTAATGTGTACAATATATGTTCACCAGGTGCCAGTTTCCATAATAATATAAATAATAATATTTTATTACATTACATTTAAATGAGAATAGTAGAATTGTACTTCTTCATGGGGATAGTTCGTCTGTTAGGAAAAAGGAAATTATTAATAATATGGAAATGTTCCTTGGCTTACATTATAAGACTAAGTGTAAATTTATAATATGCTCATTTCCATATTCCTCTTTCCTTACAGAGGAACAAAATAAATACATATATAGTCTTAACATGACTATATATAATACAACTCACCGTCATAGTGACGCTTTCTTTTATTTTGACATGAATAATTTTATTAAATCTAGTTTTAAGGTGACAAAAAATACTTGGTATTTGCCATTATATTATAAGAAACAAATTGCTACTTTAGTAGCATACAATATACAGAACCCAGTTTGTACAACATAGTACAACTAAGAAGTGCGAAAAGATTGTCGCCGCTGGCTTAAGATTGAACATTCAAATATGTAGAAAAAGTGCGAAAAGATTGTCGACGCTGTGGGAATCGAACCCACGTCTTCGGCATTCGCGGCCTGACGCTCTAGCCACTGAGCTAAACGGCTGATGACCACACCGACGAAAATCTTAACGCATTGTTAATGCGCAATATACAAGGCTTGGGTGGCAAAGAACCTGAAATAGAACTGTTCCTTAGGAAATTTAATATTCATGTCATCTGCTTCACAGAGACATGGTTACATAAGAATTGTAATATTGTAAATATAGAGAATTATAAAATGTTAAGTTAATTCGTAAGAGTAAATGCTATACGCGGTGGCTCTCTTGTGTTAGTTAGAAATGATATAGTCTGTAAAAATCGACAGGATATAATGGCACTCTCTGTCGAACGTTCTATAGAATTATCCTGCGTTGAGAGTCAACAGTATATTATATTATGCGTGTATCGACCCCCCTCCGGTGATTTCGACCAGTTTGAGTGTATCATGGATGATGTCCTTAAAAAACTGTGTTTAACTAGTAAATCAGTCATAGTTTGTGGAGATTTTAATGTGGATTTATTACAAGTAACACAACTTAGTAAGCGGCTTTTAAATTTATTTAATTCATTCAAACTTAAAAATCATTTTTATGAACCAACTCGTGTTACTAACTTTTCCTCCACATGTATCGATAACGTTTTCTGTCACAATGAAGTATATGACAAATCTATTATAAATTATCTGAGCTCTGATCATCTTGGTTTAAAATTTTCAATAAATGAAAACATTACTACAAGTGAAATTACGATCAGGTGTAGACCAGTCACTGCTAGGAGACTAAATTCTTTTAAAGATAAAGTAGCACAGCATTTATTCCATAAATCTGTATATCTGGAAGACCCAAGATATTCAGGGAACCTATAAAGCTAGTGATAGGCAATACACCCATAACTTCAGATAACGAAATTGCAAGTAGTTTTGAAAGTTATTTTTCAGAAATTGCAATTAATGTTACATGCACGTTAAAATCCTCTCCCATTGATGCAATTAATGTATTAAAAAATAATGTTACCTATTGTCGACAAACGTTTAAATTTAATCACATAGATACAAATGATATTATAAAAGTTTATGAATTCTATTAATCTTAAAAATACAGGAGATTTGTGGGGCATGTCCATAAAATTAATGAGTACAATAATGCCGTATATTGCACCATATGCAAAATATTTGCCATTACCATGGCAAATATTTTTAACAAATGTATAGATTCTGGAATATTTCCAGATCTTATGAAATTCAGTAAGATAATCCCCGTTTTCAAAAGTGGGGATAAAAATGATCCAGGAAATTACAGACATATCTCCATATTGCCATCTCTGAGTAAAATTTTTGAAAAACTAATTTTAAATCAACTCTTAGTACATTCTAATATGAACAAAATTTTCCACAATGAGCAATATGGATTCACTAAAGGCACTAAGATCGACAACGGATGCGGGTGTCGCACTTGTCAAGCATATTTATAACGCCTGGGAAAGGTCACAAGATGCAATAGGTGTCTTTTGCGACCTTTCAAAGGCTTTCGAGTGTGTAGACCACGAAACCCTCCTTCAAAAGTTAGATTATTATGGCATTCGTGACATCGCCCTCAATCTCATTGCCTCTAACCTTAGTAATAGAATTTAAAAAGTATCTATAAATGATGTAAATTCCGCAGGGTCCCCCATGAAAATGGGTGTCCCACAAGGATCAATCTTGGGTCCATTATTATTCTTAGTGTATATAAATGATCTCCCCCCGAGCCCTCCAGTAACACGCTGAGAGGATTCAGGGACAGGCAAAACCATATTGGACTCAAACAATCGCCCTGGAAAATACCCCGTCGTATCCTTATCCGGTATTCCGCAGCCGTCATCCGCTCGCCTAGATGACAAAGGATCGTACTCCATTGCCCCATACAGTGCCCGAGGAAGTCTCTTACTGTACAGTCTACTTTGTACAGTTCGAGGACCCTCTTTAGCCATGTATGGGGCACCGAGTCGAATGCCTTTTTGTAGTCTATCCAGGCGGCGGAGAAGTTCCGACGGTTGCGCTTAACCATTTTACCAATGACCGCGTCGATGAGATGCGGTTCCTTGGTTCCACGACCGCCGCCCCGACATCCATTCTGAGTACGAGACATAATCCGATTCACATTAATATGCCGGGTGATTCTCATACTCAGAATAGATGTCAGTGTCTTATAGATGGTGGGTAGACACGTAATGGGGCGGTACTTACTTGGGTCTGTGGTAACATGATCTTTCGGAACCAAATGAGTGACCCCAGTAGTAAAGAGGCTCGGGAGCGACCTCTGATCGAGAGCCTCTTGGAACTGTCGGGCAAGCACAGCATGACACACCACGAACCCCTTCAGCCAGTAGTGATGCAGCCCGTCGAGTCCCGGACTTTTCCAGTTCGGGGCTCTACGGACTGCCTCAGATACGTCGTCGGGTGTTATGACGACGGGGTCCATGGGTGTAATGTCTGCACATTGGCTCGCCACGACTTGTGTCCAAGGGCCCTCACTGTGGTCTACGGGCTCTGACCAAAGGTCAGAGCCCCTAGACCACAGTAGACAAGGTCCTGGTCTGGTCCTTGGCCCGTTCCACAACTCATTGGTCGCTCCAAAGATTTGTAGAGCCTCTTTTGGTCACTCTGGAAGAGGCGATTCTGGCTAAACCGCGCCTTCCTCTCGGAATATCTCCGAATCCGCTTCCCCCAAGCAGCGATCTTCTGCTTCAGGTCATCTATGCGCTCCGTTAGTTTTTGCGTAATATCCGGCTGGGACAAGTTGGTGTTGGTCCCAGCGAACGCCATCCTAACGGTGCGCACAATTCTGGGCCTATTATTGCCTGACCTGAAGCTTATCAGCCTGCCGATGATGGCCCTTACCTTTGCGATACGGTCCTCAATTCTTCTTCTCCATACTGGGATAGTGCTACCTGGTCTAGTAGCACGTCCAGTCTTGGGAAGTTTGGCGCCAACGATTCGGCATACTGCCAGTGCAGCGCCAAATAGAATTGAGTCCGTATCGCAAAGATCCCGGCTAGCTTCCAAATAGGTTGCCAGCATCGGGTTAAGAGACCTTACGACAGACCGACTCCGCTTACTCAGGGGTATGCGGGGGAGACGTGGTCGATTCTCGAGAGGCGTTTCGCGCACCTCCAGAATTGCCTCCTCCAATAGGCTTCTCATCTGCTCTATATCTTGGGCGACTATTCCATCATCGAACGAATCTACAGGAGCCGGGGGGTAAAACGCGGCCTCCGCTTCCGCTTGTAACCCCGCGGGGTCCGCAGCTTGCGGGGTCGAATTTCCAGTCACTGCATTTTCGTCCGATGAGGGAACAGCCTCACGTCGAAGTCGTTCGAGTTCGGCATCATCAAATATTTTCGAACGCGTGATGTACCGAACTCGGTCTGCCAGGTTTTGCTCGGTGACGGTTACAGACGGCTCCAGCTCAGCAAAAAAGCGATGCATCCTTGCCCGATACGCAAACCCTCCAGTTTCACTCCCTTTCGCCCTAAGATACGCCCGCATTGCGTTCCTGTTCATGTCTGTCGTCCAGCGCAAGCGGCGTATTCCACCAGCGGCGGGTGCCGATTGCTGGATCCGAGAGGACCCTGCCGACACCAAGCCAACTGGTGGGGATGATGGATGCGAGGTATTGCTAGGTGGTCGTGCAGTACCCCGCGCTCGGCTGGCGTCCCGCATGCTGCCACGTCCAGCGCCAGCTCCAGACGCGCCCTGGCGGCCCCCAGGTAGCGGCCCTATGCGCATTCTTCGGGAGTCCATCATCCATTATATTTTTAGGGCGTCATTTAACGGAAGACGCCCCCAGACCGGCACCGTTTTCAATAGTGTGGCCATACGCACAGACGGGCCTATGCACCCTCATTTTTGCCGAGGCACGGTGCAAACACCTCTTGGCAAGGCGCTGACTGATTGCGCCGACGTAACAGTTCTGTCACTTAAATTGTTACGCCGGTGGGCGGTGGGGTCGTCACTTCCCTACGTCATATTATTATTATTATATAAGAGCTATTTGCGGAACATTACAACTTCGGGGGGATGATATGGCTGATTACGAGGGTCTTATACATTTGTGAATGTACAATTTATACATATCCATGATGAATATCGATCCATATTCCGAGACTTGGAAGATCTGGTGACCAGTAATTCAAGTTATTTCTATTATTTTGTTTTATATTGTTTTTTATGTTATATTTTTTTATATTATAATAACTAAAAATATGTTGAAATAACTAAAGTTTAAGCTTGTTTAATACTTGTTGCAAATGCAACGAATCATAATATTCGTAGAGAGTAAGCAAGGATTATTAGATAGGCTTGTTATGGATAAAATCTTAAAAAATTAGGTGGGAAGAAGTAGCCGTGGCTTAGTCGCCCACGGTAAAGCTAAGAGGAACCCAGACTACCGGCCTTCTCGTGCCGGCCTGTGGTGTAAGGCCGCTCCGAGAGGGCCGCTCCGAGTGGGCTCAATGAGCCCACTCTGGATGCGTGGATGCGTGCTGGAGGGTGCAGGGGAAGGGTTGAGGGTGGTGGAGGAGGAACCACTCTCCCCGTCTTCTGTTACGGAGGGAAGAGGAATGCCGATATTGCATTTGGCCGCTCTCCCTATCCACCGCGACTGGGTGGGGCTGCACCGCTGATGCAGTGGTGGTGGGACTGCGGGGGGAGATGACTGTCAGTATTGCGATGCGCCGTTGTCCCTACCCTCTGTGGCCGAAACATGGTGCGCGGCGGAACCACAGGCCAGGTCCGCCGCTGGGGGCTGGGAAGCTTCCCGGCTTCCTTATTAACACTGGCTCTCCTGGCTCCCATGGCCCCGGTCAGGAAAAGGGGAATTCGTTGTCCGTGAAAATGGGGCCGAGTAGGAAAGCACGCTGAATGTTGCAGCGCGCCTTATCTGGAGGAGAGGGGAGTTGCGCCCCAGAAGGGGGCTGCTGAGGTGGCCAGCGCTGGCAGTGCCACGGAAGTGTGCGAAAGCGTTCCCGTGACCCTGCCGATATGCACCTAGATGGAACATCGCGGGGGTTTTAGTCGGTGCGAGTCCGTCATACCGCGCTCTTGCCCCCGTGAGGGCGGGTATGCGTAGGCATTTCCCCCACGTAAACAAAAAAAAACGTAAAAAAACGAAAAAGTTGGAAAAAATTACGACAAGAGAAGAGTATTGCTTCTGGATCGTTGAAGTATGATTGAGTAAATAACTTACGAGAAACAGCTCTGAGGGTTACGTTGGTGAGGTGTTTGTGTTGAAGTTCGAATGGGCCGCCGTCAACTTCGGTCTCCAGGCTTTTGATCAACTCCCTAGACTGATCGTTGAATATCGCCTGAAAGGCGTCGACATTGCTTGGTCTGAATGCACTGCGTAGCTTCTTCACATTGTGCTTCCAAAGATTGCCTAAAATTTACGTTTAGTGCAATGATGTTATATAATACTAGCTGCTGCCCGCGACTACGTCTGCGTAGAATAGGCTGTAGGCGTGACATTCAGACATAAAGACAGATATACATAAAATTATGTATATAAATTATAGCCCTATGTCTTGTTCTGATGTATAAGCTATATTATTGTGAAGTTTCATTAAAATCCATTCAGTAGTATTTGAGTAAAGAGTAACAAAAATCCATCCATACATACAAACTTTCGCCTTTATTATATTAGTAAGGAAGGAAGGAAAGGATATGACGCATGTCCATACTGCGCGGCGTTTAAAAATTATTCCGCTTTACATTATTTATGCAGTGCCGGATTAAGCAAGCACGGGGCCCGTAGCAATTTCTTTCATACAGCCATTCTTAGTTGGTTCTTAAGTATAAATTGGTAAAAAACAATTCAATACACTTACTTGGTGGTAGTATTTAGAATTCCAATAAGAGAGTGTAATGCTCATTAAGTTGAATAAAGATATTTGTAAACAACTCATTTCTTAAGTTTCACAAATAATTAAGCTTATGAAGTTCGCAAATAAAGTATTGCAGCTGTACTTAACATTCGTGTTTACCTTTTACGTAACTTCAATGGTTTCAGAACCCCATCCCATTGCTACCTAAATCTTGTATTAACCTTGACACACCCGGTCTTAACAATTTTGAATGTCGTTATTTATTTAATTTTAAAATATTATTGTAGCGTAAAATTAGTTCTTATTCCGGAACTTTTTATAGGGATGGACGAAATTCGGACCCTGGTTGAAGAAAATTCAGAAAATCCAGAAAATCCAGAAAATTTCGATCGTCTTTTTGCAACAAAACAGGGTCGAAATTCAACTCGTTTCTAGGAAGTTTTAGAAAAAAAAAACGACCGAAAATCTGGCAGTTCAGTGATGGAACTCGAAGAGGGAGGAAAATTAAAGAAATTAAAAAGAGATGTACAAGTGTATACGTGGAGCATTGGTGCGACAACGTGAGGGCCATCGTACCTTTGTGAATATGAAAGTCCGAATTTTGGAGACGTTTGCACAACAACTCATAAAAATTCCGACCCAGTTAGCTGAGAATTAAGCAAGTAGAGTTAGGGGACGAGCGGGATGAATTACATACAATGTGTTTAATTACTCACCAGGCGCAGTTATAAGACCGTGGCCTATGATTTTATGTGTGAAATTATAAATGTACGCTTTGTTTAAATTGGTCGTCGATACAGTCCGCACTTCCTCTGGATCTGAAAGGACTATAAGGCAGAAATTCGATATAGAAACACATCAGTGGTACATCCGTTACAGTCACGGTCGTATATACAAATGCACTGCGATCGATCGACATATTTATATATTCGATATAGATACGAGCTATATATCATTTTTACATTTTTAAATCCGTGTAATGTAGAGTGCATTATACCTTGGTTTCGTTCGCATATTCGGAGTATAAAGTTATTTTTGAGTATAGTCTTGTGAATTGTGGATAATTAACGTCGGCATCGACGTTCACTGCTTAAAAAAAAGTTAGGCATACAGCCTATACATGTCCCACTGCTGGGCAAAGGCCTCCTCTATACAGAGGGTATCAGGGCATAGTCCACCACGCGGCCCCACTGCGGATTGGCGGACTTCACATATCTTCGAAATACATTTTTTTTTGTTATTATTTCGAAAATATGCAGGTTTCCTCACGATATTTTCCTTCACCGCGGAGCACGTGATAATTCAGCACTTAAAGTTAATAACTTCATTGGTGCCGGCACCGGGGATCGAACTCAGGTTGCTTGAGTATATATTGAATTAAAGGCGAGCGCCCTGATACTATCACGGCTCATGTTCACTGTGTAAGGCCACGCAATAGTCTTCGCTGTTGCACGAATGGGCAGGTCCGTCTAGGGAAGTACCACGACCTCACACAAGGCCGGCGTGAAGTGGAAGTGTTACACTTCTGCGTTTCGTCTGGTAAGTGAGGTAACAGGAGCCCACTTTATTAATTAGGTGAAACACTGATAATTTTAGAGGTTTCTACTGCGATGTCGTAAACAAACATTCAGCATTGCACTCGTGCGAAGCCGCGGCGGGTCGCTAGTCTTTATATATGAAAATGAAAATGAAAATATGTTTATTGACGTGTGACGTATGTGACGATGTTACCACAGAATTACACTTAAGTACATTGTGCGTTGGCACCACACTAGGCAAAGCCTGTCCTGTGGTTGCCGTCTATTGCGATTGCCATCTTTTTTACAAATTTGCCAGTCGAAAAATCGCTTCATACTAAAACTTAAATAAATATTACTAAAACTTAAAATTTTAACAAAATTTTATATTAATTTAATATGACCAAAAATAAGAAGATGTAAATAAATAGAGGTTGCTTAAAACAATTATATATATACATATATACATACATAAACATACATATATATATATATATATATATATATATATATATATATATATACATAAATAAGGGCATATGTGTGATTATATATAAATGCAAAAATAAAATCATCAAAGTATATGGTCAAGTACTTTTTCAGTTGAATCATACGTTAAAGAAGCAAGCCACTTAGAAGTCTCTAGTTTCGCATCCTTTACTGAACTACGCTTTATGTCGCAGGAGCAGAGTACCTTGTTATACACAAAGTGGTCTTTAAAAAGGCTAAACCGTTTAGCAAAATTCGTTCTGATCTTAGGAAGAGGGAGTCTAAAATTGCGTTGGTTAAGTAATTCGTGATATCTACTACAATTGACAACGGTATGATGAACCTTAACAATGGTTTTCAGAATAAATAATTGTCGAACTCAAAACTTCGCTTTCTTTATAGGTATTAGCTGTCGGATATCTGAAAGGCCTGTTAAGCATCGTTTTTAATACGGACCTTTGTGCTCTTTCAACAGGTAACATTGAGGTTTTTGATGCACATCCCCAGCAAGTTATGCAAAACGTTATGATTGATTGACAAAGTGCGAAATAAACTGATCTTAATGTGGATTCTTGAGCTGATGGGTGAAGTAATTTTATTATATTGGCTGTTTTACGAACTCTATTTGAGAGTAAATTTATATGTGCCTTAAAATTCAAGTTATGATCAATAATAACGCCTAAATATTTTATATTTTCCGCTCTTTGTATGTGATCACAGTCACAGCTTTCTTGGTTTCCACAGTCGTGTATAGTGATGTTTGATATAATATTTGGAACAGTCGCTGCAGTTTTGTGAAAGCATGCGTGTTTACTTTTCTTAATATTGAGTGTAAGTAAATTTTTTTGCAGCGACGTATGCACTACCTTCATTCCTGAGTTTGCATTCTCAAACGCTTCACGCCAGGAAGAGCCATCGAACACCATTACAGTATCATCTGCGTAACATATGGTTTCTGCTTTGGTTATGTCAAGTGTGCAGTTCATATACATTATGAAGAGTGTTGGGCCTAAGATGCTACCCTGTGGAACTCCAAAACTAATCCTCTTTTCACCACTGCGATAATCCGAGATTTTAACAAATTGTTTTCTATTACTCAGGTAACTTTTGAACCATTCAAGAGATGTGCCTCTTATACCAAACTGGTCTTGCAACTTTCTGAGTAGGATAGGGATGAAAACAGTGTCAAAAGCTTTCTTCAAATCTAGGAAGATGCCTATTGCTGCTCTTTTATTATCGAGATGTGACGCCAAGATTGTGGTTAGCAGGGAGATAGCATCTTCTGTTGATTTTCCTTTTCTGAAGCCAAACTGTCTAGGAGAAATCATCTGTTTAGTCTCTAAATATCTAACAACTCTTTTATTGACAATTTTCTCCAATATTTTTGAGAAGAATATATAATTCTTCTCTACGTGTGTATGTAACGGAACTCCTACTAAATGGCTGGACCGATTTTAATGAATTTTTTTGTGTGTGTTCAGGTGGATTCGAGAATCGTTTAGATTCACAAAGTTATGCAAAAAGGTCTAAAAATTTTCAAATTTAAGACGTGTGTACAGGACGTCTGTCCGGTCCGCTAGTAGGGTACAATCTCGAAAGTACTAACTTAAATAAGTATATGTACGTTTATAACGTTTTAAACATGTGAACAAAGGTAAAACGAAAAAAAATATCACTAAACAATTGTTTCACAAAACAAAATATAAACACAAAAGTGTGAGTGAAAATAAGAATATAATTATTTCATATATTAAGCTAAATTATTACCTTTACCACTAACTACTCTATATATATAAATGTTATTAAGGAGGACGTAGTATAATATTCTTAAGGAAATTACTGTAGGTAGCAATTTTTTTTTATGAAAATCATTCGTTCAATTTTCAATTTAAAACTTACCCACAAAATATTTGGTACCAAGCCGTGCCGCAAACGGCACCTTTGTTGCTTCAATCGTCTCAGAGACCCTTTTATAATATTTGAACAAATCTAAAAACAAAAAAAAATAGCTGCAAATGAAACAAAATATACAGAAGCTGGAGTAAATAAATATATAGAATCAAGAATACCACACATTCAACTATCGAGATTGAGTCAGAGTTCCTTACAGGCACAGGTGAACGCAAATGCAGGTCTTTCATACTCTGTTCAATAGTAGTTCAGCAGCAGAAACCAGAGTGTGGCTCAACCAAAGTGATTTAATAGGCCATTCCTGACAGTGGTTGTAATATTGTATACATAAATTGATCTACCCACAAGTAGACTGCGTAAAATAAGCAAATCTTTTACTGGACGATGTATACGTTTCTACAACAAAATTCCAGAAAACGTTCAAAATGCATCAATAGCTAAATTTAAAAAAGTAGTAAAAGAACGTTTGTGTGTTAAAGGCTATTATAATATTAATGATAATTTAAATGATAACCCACTCTGGTAATGAATTGATCCAGGCTCTTTCAATCAGAGTTCTTATATTGTATTTGTAATGAATTCATGTCAAACTGTTTATTTAAAAAAAACATAAAAAAAGCCCACTGAGTTTCTTTCGCCGGTTCTTCTCAGTACAGTGGCTTTCTTTTCCGAACCGGTGGTAGTGTTTTGTCTATCAATAAGCGAGTGTAATACTCCTATGTTGAATGAAGACATTTGATTTGATTTTGATTTTGATTGTTGCAAAACTCATGTCCGTTGTATCGGTAAACGTTTTTGTATTCTGTTTTTTAGTATTTATTGTTATAGCGGCAACAGAAATACATCATCTCATCATGTGAAAATCAACTGTCTAACTAAAACGGCTCATAAGATACAGCCTGACAGACAGACAACTGAGTCTTAGAAATAGGGGTCCCGTTTTACCCTTTGGGTACGGGACCCTAAAAAGTGTAAATTTACTTCTTCTGTCCCAGAAGAACTTGTGCGCGTTGCCGATAAATGGTAGGTTGGTCCAGGTGGGCAAGTGCGTCAGCATCCTGCGCTCTCGCCGGATAACCATCATCTGGTAGAGATGCAAGCATACCAGCGCAGCCAAAAGTAACAACACCCAATACATCTGCATAAGAGTTGGTACCATATCATTGATTCAGTTAAAGCAACTCAGTTGCTTCAAAATTATAGCCAAATAAGTTTATTTATCTTCATTTATAGCAAACTAGCTGCCGCCCGCGACTACGTCTGCGTCGACTAGGCTGAAGGCGTAACATTCAGGCACAAAGACAGATATATAATAATAAAATCTAATATATAAAATTCACGTGTCACAGTGTTTGTAATTGAACTCCTCCGAAACGGCTCGACCGATTTTCGTGAAATTTCGTGTTGATAAGCACACGAAATTTCGCCAGGGTGGAGAATCGGACAACATCTATTTTTCATCCCCCTAAATGTTAAGGGTGGTCCACCCCAAATTTTTTTTCTTTAATATAGAATTTTTTGTTTTTACTTTTTTATGATACAGCATACAAAAATACATACAACCCTAAATTTTCACCCCTCTACGCAGACGTAGTCGCGGGCAGCAGCTAGTTAAATATATAAATTATAGCCTACGTCTTATTCTGATGTATAAACTATATTATTTTATAGTTTCATTAAAATCCATTCACTAATATTTGCGTGAAAGAGTAACAAACATCCATCCATTCATACAAACTTTGGTGTTTATAATATTAGTAAGGATATTAGAAGATTTCGTTTTTTATTATATTGTAGGTAGGCGTCGGTGGTCTTTTCGAATATCATGCAATGAACTTATACTATTATAAACGAGCGTTAAAGTTCGCAATAAAAAAACAAACTTAATTTACCATACCTTGGTAGGTATATACCATACTATACCGTCATATATATGAATACAACCTTATGCTAATCTGTTTATCATACAGGTATTTTTTTTCTTTTGTCCTATTGTTTGCACGTGATAATATAATTAATTACAGAAAAATTTGTTGCCTATATAAGCCTTTACCTAGATGAAGTAATTTACCCAACTAAGTAATTAACCGCATATAGTAAGTCTAAGTGATTACCACGCTATAACTGTGTGAAACAAAAATCTGTGTGTTTATCACTTACAATTGATTATAATATGCGGTGTGTCTTTCATTGTGATGAACTCTTTAGTTTTCTTTCGACGAGCGTATTTTATTTTTTTAATTTTTTAAGATCGCCTCTGTGATAAACTACAGTTGTCACAGCAATAGTCTTACATATCGACCACAGCTGGGCAAATGCTTCCATCATAATAATAAACAACCACAATAATAATAGAAACCAACAGACGGATTATAAACATTGCCATGATCACGTCGCAAAATTGTCCATAAAAATTTAGCTGTAAAGCACCAATTCATATCCCCACTAAAGTACCCTACTACATACTCGTATATTCACCGGAAATTGTTCTTGAAAATCGCAACTACAAATAACATTTTGATCGGGCTATATTAAATGATAAAACTGTACATCTCAATAGGCCATATGACGATAGCGAATAAGGCAAATAAAACCGCCACAATTAGAGATAAAGCTGTCCCCAATACTCATAACCTACAAACTGGGAATCTTACAAAATTTATCCAGCTCAAAGAAGAAATAAGCCGTATGTGACAGCAGAAATCTGTATCAATAGCCTCTCCACATCTGGCGTTAACCCCAAAATAACTTCACCGATCCATGAAAACTCTATAATTACCTACGAATCACGTCATTTGTAAAGTCCACAATCATAGTAATTAGCATTCGCATAAGCTGTTGTACAGAGAGAGGTCTTAGTATACAGTACAAAAATAGTGATTCTTTACCTTGCAGTCAAGTCCATATTCTTTAACAGTCTAAATAAATAGGTAGGTATACTTAATTATTTTAAATTTGTTAACAATGATCACAACGAACACATGAAACCAATAACTTTTTAAAGTATTACGAAACCGCATTGTATAACTCGTTCATTTTTGACAAGCACTTCGCCCGCGACGTCGTCCGCGAAAATTGTAGTAGCTCGGCTAATTTGCACGATATAAATATAATTTATATACTAAAACCTTCTCCGACACTCGCTGCATCTTATGCTATTAGTAAGTTCCCATCGGTTCAGTAGATTTCGCAGTATAACGCAACAAAATACTGACTCTACATTTATTAAGATTATTTAAGATTATTAGGAATAATGGCTAACAGATTTTATAGCACTTACATTTTTTTGTTCCCGCTTCTAAAACAACCGAAAGACTAATGCTGTGGCGGAAATTTACGCTGTATTTATGTTGAGTACCGGCGTCATAAGCAACGTCCGTGCCTATATAAAAACCGGTGGGCCTCTGGTCCCAATGCAATTATGTTTCCTTGAAAAAACTCTAAACAAGAGTTTGTTCAAGGGAATACTAAACAAGAGTTTTTTCAAGGGAACATGATGGGCTTTATAAATACGCTCTGTAGATATCTAAGAGGTTTGAAGTTGGGAGGTCACATAATAAATACAGCCTGAACGGGTAATCTACTAATTTATAAATAAAATTACTACTAACTACTGTTAATCTTTCTAATTTCTTTACAGATTTAGTGCTAGGTTATAATGTATTGCAGCTATTTTACTTTCCTCGACTCTTTTTATAAAAGATATCATATCATATAGATAACATATGTAGATAGTAATAAAATAGGTAATTAAAAAGATAACTTATTCTCACAATTAAGTATGTAGCTACTATTGCATATTACAACAATACAATGTATTCTCTAGTCTATATACACGTTCAATGTATTCTCGGCATCGGGTTGATATAGTAATGTTGCTTGTCCAAACGCTCATTTTACCCATTATCTATTATGCAGACGTGTGTTACCCGGACGTATCCCAACATCTACTAAACAAGTTGGATCGCCCCCTTAATAACTGTATCAGGTTCATTTTCGGCTTACGCAAGTATGACCACATATCCTCCTATCGATCTCAACTTAATTGGCTTACTATTCGGCATAGGCGGCAGTCCAGAATTTTGCTTGTGCTTTTCTCCATTTTAAATGATTGTTCCTCCCCTTCTTACCTCAAAAACAAATTCTTGTATCTCTCCTCATCTCATGATAGGGTACTTCGGTCGTCTTACACGAATAAATTATGCATTCCAGCGCACTTTACCGGGTTCTCTGTCAACTCCTTTACTATCCAAGCTATACATCTTTGGAACTCCTTGCCCGATAACGTAAGAAACGCAAAAAGTAAGACATCGTTCAAAATATTTGTTCGTGAACACCTGTTAAAGACAAATTCGACCTAAGATATGGACTGTAGTTAAAAGTAGAAGCTAATTGTTATTTATTTATACAAGTATACATCTTTATATATATTTAAATATTTGAATATATATATATATATATATATGTATATATATATATATATGCATGTATATAACTTAATATATGATTTGTATCCAATTATAATATTATTTTCATATATATTCTCTTTAATTAAAATTTTATTATTCTTGCATCTTTTGCTGCACCTACCATAAACTCTCACCACATCCTGGGTTGACTGGTAGAGAATGCCTTTGGGCATTAAGTCCGCCCTTTGTTACCTTGTTTTACTGAAGGTTGGCAATAAAGATTAAATAAATAAATAATGTTCCTATAGTAACGTTATATATATAGATATACTGTCACAGGACTGGACTGGTCACTGGAGACTAGGATGTTAACCTTCAGCAGGACTGGTATGTTAACTGTTGTCTGCCTGTTGTCTTGAAAATTGTTCGACAGCAGCGTCCTCTAAGCAGGATCCTTCTTCACCACGACACCGCTTCGGCGCACTCCGCGAAACGTATAATTGGATACTTGACTATGGCAGTTGCCGAGATAATGTGTTAGCCGCCATATAGTCCCAACCTGACGCCCTTCGACTTTCATTCATTCCCAAGTTGAGCTTTGGAAAGTGCCGTAGAAGAGACCCCTAAGGAATAATGGGCCCATTGCTTTTCTATTGAAATCCATTGCCATCTATTGAAAGGAACGGTGACTACTACGAACAACAATAAGAGTATTGGCAACTTTATACATAGAGCCGTTTTATGATTTAAGAACTTTCACGTAGACGATATTAAAATACTGCTACGATCGGCGTACATGAAGGAGTGAACGCTGCTATTGTTACGAAATAACAATATTCACTCCTCCATACAAAAGTCTTTAATTTTTTTTTCAATGTTTGTATCTTATTTTCACAGCATCTTGTGATCGTGAACCCTATATACATAATTTTTGATGTAAAATTTGACGATTCATAAGAGCGTGCAAGCGTCATTTTGAATAAATATATTTTTGATTTTGATTTTTAAAATAACAGATTTGGCCGACATATATACATATCGCGCGATTTAAACTCACCGGCACGGAAACTTGGCCAAGCATAAAATTTGTGTTAAGTTCCGTTTTTTTTTTTCTTCATTTAACGGTAAAATACAGACCACAATACTGAACACATCCAATTAACACTCGTGGCCAACTTTTCATATTCAATAAGAATTTTTCAAATAAATTTTGGCTGTATTAATTACTGCTTGTTATAGTTTTTGCTTTCGCTATGCAATGTTTTAAAACTTATAAGCTTGTAATAAATTGACAATAAATATCTTTTTGTTTGGCAGGATTTTTTATTCCATTTGTTATCAATTTTGGGAATAATAATTGTTAATTGTGGTTTTTTTATAGTGCTAATCCTGCACTTATGATATATGTTACTTGTGATTTTTATCTTGAGAATCAGAAAACAAATATCATAAAATGAAGTTAGAAGATAGAGTAAGTGATTTCAACTACAAATAATAATAACTAATAAATAATAATATAACTAAGAAACAATTAGTGAAGGGTCTGGGGATAATATCACTGTATTGCAAGTTAAGCTTTTCAAAACACATTAACAATTATGAAATGTTATAAGTGTTATCAGACCATTTACTGATATTAACTTTTTTATAATTACTTTATATTTCATATGTTAGAAACATCCTTAAATATTGTTGTACTATATGGAAACCGCATTACACTATTCACATAAATAACTTAGAAAAACTTCAGCACAAATTCCTCTTAAACCATAGAAAAATTATATTTATTTTAATAACTATTAAGATTCATGTAGATATTTCAACATAATGAGCCTCAACGATAGACACACTTACTCTATTGGATATGGCCATTCTACATGGTTTATGTAACGTAAGTGTCGAATTGTCGATTGTGTAACTTTAGCTGATAGAATTATTCAAGTCATAGAGATATATAACTTTGTTTGTGATTGTTAAAATATCAACAAACTATACACAAAACATTCCCCCTCGATTCGCTTACAAAAAATTTATAACAATAAATTCCAATGTGGCAGTCAGCCATTTACCTTAGGGTCCGTTCACACAGACCGGCTCGGAGAGGAGAGCAGATTTTTATCACGTTGGAAACAGTGTTTTGAGTGATTGTAGTAAAGTTTATTTTTGCATTTGCACCTTTTTTGTCATTAAAAATGCCTGAACGCGCTTCGTGTGAAGTAATAAAAGGAGCCGACCGGCTCCGCTTGCGTGCTCTTTCTCGCTCGCGCAGCCGATCGGCTCTGATTGCGTGCTCTTTCTCGCTTGCGCAGCCTGTCGGCTCCGATTGCGTGCTCTTTCTCGCTCGCGCAGCCGATGGGCTCCGATTGCGTGCTCTTTCTCTATCGCGTAGCCGATCGGCTCCGATTGCGTGCCCGCTGCGGCCGCGCCGACCGCCATTTTGATAGCAACATTTGAACGTAATAGTTGTGCGTACTTGTACGAAAAGATGAATGATGAAAAATTAATAATACTCGTGTCAAAATATGAGTGTTTATTTGATTAGTATAAGTAATTTACATTTCATTAACGTAAACAATGCTTAATAAATGGAGGGCTGTGATTTTGTGATCTAAATAACATGATTAGTATAAATAATTGTTTTTTATTTACCTTAAAGTTACCGTTAACCTTTCTTCGGCTGTAATGGTGCAACGATAATTTGTAGTCTTTTTTGTTATATGTACTCTTAACAAATCTGTCAATTTCAAAAATTGCCAATATTCCATACGATAATACTCATAAAATTTTAGGCTATCTCTCTTCAATTCCTCGAAAATGGTGTGAAACTCCCCATGGATTAGTCTGTTTTTCCAAATATGTTTTACCCATATTTGTTTCCGCTTGCGCTTACGTTTCCTATGTTCTATTTCAAGTAATCTTGCTAACAAATATATTTCTTCGTCGGAGCTATCTAAATCCATGTTTCGAAAAGCACACGTTAACACACCGAAAACAAAACTTAGACTGCGCGGAATACTGGCACTGCCTTTGTAGTGTATCCACCCGACTCCGAGCGCATCCGACCGGCTCCGAGCACATCCAACCGCACCCGCTTTCAGATCTCTTCCAGCCGGTCGATGTGAAATAGTTGGCGGCTCCGCTCCGGCCAATTCCAAGCGTATACGACCCGGTCTGTGTGAAAAGAAAAAAGCAGGCCGATGCTCTCCGAGCCGGTCTGTGTGAACGGACCCTTAGTGGCTAAAGCATCTTTCTGCGAATTCGGACACGTGGATTCGATTCCCACAATGGCGAAAAACTTTTCGTCCTCCTTTCTACAACATTTTACGTTTGATCTTAATTGCAGAGATTAGCACTATAAAGGTTTTAATTTGATATTTTCATTACTGAAATTTTCAAAACTGCTCAAACACTGCTTCCGGATCCCTTTGTCCCGCTTTCTGAGTCTTCCGGTTGGTCATAGATTACCGTGGCCAACCTGGAAGTCTTTAAATAGACTTCGGGAGCAAGGAAAATATGTTCAGGTGGGGACTCACGAACTCAGACCTGGTCTGTATGTGTGGAGCAGTGCAGTCCATGGCTCATCTAATGTCGTCCCTTTCACCTGTTCACAGCAGGATTTGATAGATGCCACAAATTGTGCTATTGTAGCGGCTAAGTTATATAAGAAAGATATGATTTGTCATCTAAACATAAAGAAGCAGAATACTGACAAGGGTGGTTTTAAAAGGCGTATATTAAAACTAGAGCAGAAGAATACTCTTTTTTTTTTTTGGGCTGGATGAGCCACTGTTGCCCTTAGGGGCCTTTACAGATCCGACGGACTTGAGGGGGCCGGGCGCTCGAAGCGCCTAGCCTGAACCTCTGCGTATTATTATTACGCGTTATGGTGACTAAGCTCGAGGGCTCCCGGGGGAGCCTCGGCTCGGGCCGTCACGCTATTATTATTACCGGTTTGGGAGGCCGCCAAGCTCTTAGGGCGCTTTGGCGGGCGCTCCATGGAGTGGTCAGGCTCAAGGGTCCCCGAGAGGGGACCTCGGCTTGGGCTGTCACTCAGCACGCGTTTAGCATTCCGATTCGAGGGTGCCCGAGAGGGCCGGACCTCGGCTCGATCGGTAGCTATTATCTGACTGAGAATTTCTAGATCTAACATTACTGCCACTTCGGAAAGCGTTGGCGCTGGGAGAAGAATTGGCGGAAGAAACTCCAGCAACGCTTCTATCATGAACGGGGGAAAACCTGTCAGGTACGTGGCGGAACCTAGTATATGTTTGCCGCACTCGCCGGCGAGTGCGGTGTGATCTGATGTGTTTGCGTGATTTTTTTATTTTGTCGATGGCGATAGTCGTCTCAGCGTCAGAAAAATCGAGTACGTGTCGTGGTCTGCGCCATTGGCGACGGAACGAACCTAGCGGTAGGGGTTTGTAGGTGACGGCACCTACAACTAACGGATTGGAAGAAGGATACTCCCACACCCGCACGTACTCATAAACATACACACACAAACAAGTAGATGCATATCCACCGCACATACACACCCCACTCACACGCTAGTACAATATTTATGTTTTTATTAAGGTATAGGTATAAATATTTAATTTTGTCAAGCGGTTTTGGTGATAGTACAAAATAGACTGGAGGCTTTTTATTAGTTTTAGTTTTAGGTGATTATTAATATTAAGTAACATAAATTTTACTACAAAAAGATTTAGAAGTTGAAGATATAAGAAGTATATTGACGGATATTCTATTAGTGCTTCGGTGGCCATTTACATATAGGACATACAAAGAGCAGATAGAAAATCCAAGACAATTTTTTTTTAAATAAAAAAAGACAAGAAGGATTACCAGCTTTTCCATCAAAATTTTTTTTTTACCAGGACAACAGTCAAGTACAGACCTGTTTCTCATAAAAATAGAAAGGAACATGAAAAATAAACTACCTACATTCAAGTATATTAATACAGAAATCTTAAAAATCATAAAACTTATTCCATAAAAGTTACATATCATAATCATCGTCCTCTCGTTTCCGTTTTTGCGCGCCCACTTCGTCAACTTCCATTTTGATTGGTGCTTGAGATGAGGGCCCGGCTGTGACGCGCACTGCAGGCTTTGCAACAACCTGCAAGTCGTAATAAATGTAAAACAACAGCCTATATATGTCCCACAGCTGGGCAGAGGTCCCCTCTTTACAGAGGCTATTAGAGTAACAAATATCAATCAAGCTAAAATTTCATTATGATTATAGACTGATCTTTTTGGGAAAGTGTTAATCATATAATAATATTAGAATATGTAATGAATATAACTTGCTTAATGCTAAATGTTATATTGACATTGATTCTTCACCTCCCACAATTAAATACAAAATGCTGAAATTGAGGCACGAAAAAAATAATGCGATCGCTACTGAAATTACACCGTATTAACATTAATTTTGCTTTCCACTTTTTTTATATACTAAGATTTTTTATTAAGTATTTATTAACCATCAACTTTAAGTTAAGCATAGATCTTAAGACCTGTTCTTTTTTTGATGAAAGTAATTTTAAATTCTTTTCTTATAAATATGTGCCATATTTGCAGAAGTTTTACCTTAACCAGGGTTTCCCAGAGTAGGGTCCATTAAATTTCAGTGTTCTGCGTAACTTAAGCCAGTGTTAAATAACTATTAAAAAGAGAATCACTGCCCATTTAAAGATCAGTTGTTTTGTTCTATATTAAACAAATAACATCTAAGCTATATAAAATATATACATTTCTGATTTTTTTAATGTGAGAAGGTGGCACGCAAGCTGGCAGTTCACCTGTTGTTAAGTGATAACCGCCATCCATTGACATTTTCAACATCTGTTGCACACTTTAAATAAGTTGGCCCCGGCTACCTCACTCACCAGAAGAAACGCGGAAATATAACACTTCCACTATAGCCAGTCTCCTGTGAGGTTGCGTTACTTACCCATACACACCTGTACATTTCTACAGCAGCGAAGACTGTTTCATGGCCCTACTACGGTTAATGCCACTTGTAGAAATTATGCACCGAAAGAAAAAGCTTAGTGTCCCAAACAAATTTAAGGTTTAAAAACCAATTGTATTGTTGATTTGTAATGAATTTGTGTACTTGCCTTACTACTGGAAGTGAATTTCAGAAGCGGTTTAGGAATGACAGTAGGCTTTGATGTAGAAACATTAACAATGGTCCCTTGAGGTCTTTTCACAACAACGTTCTGCTGACTTGTATTAGGTTTTGGGGTAGTCACAGTTTTGATCGTAGGGGCACTGGGCACAGGAGGTTTTGTTATCACTTTCTTAGTGGCTGGCTTCAGCCTGTAGTTGCATGCTGCAAGGCAGTATCTGAAAATTAAGAATATGGTAGTTTAATTAACCTTAATGAAATTTAAGTTTTCATAAGCATATAAGTAACTATTTGTTATGTACTTGATTGTGTTAACAACATTGTCCAGTTAAAATATTGCATAATATAACTATTATTTTTAATACATCACCTGTACCACAATAGGTACTCATTACCTGTTACAAGGATGGAAAGATTTATAAATCTTTGATGGGTGAACAACATAATTAAAAAAAAATATTTTGGTCAAAGATATACTTGTCCCGTGTGGAGAAAAAAGCTTAAACCTTGCAAGGCCAAGGCCATTACACTGAAATAGTGAACTAGGGATAAAACATTAGTATACGGCTCAACATACCCTTGTCCAATGAAATCCAGGTATGGATTTTATTTCTATCAAATAAATATGGAAACAGGTGCAAACTGAAGCTAAATAAAAGTGTGATTTCATATTTTTCTGTTATAAAATTATATTTCAATATTACAAAATTATTTAATTTGATAAAACTAAACTATTTAAGTGGGCAGAAAGTTGATGAATGGGGGTGAATCAGGATCTTGCTTTGTGGCAATGAGGCTTATGTTCAGCAGTAGACTTAAACAGGCTGAAATGATGATGATACTGAAACTAGTATCTATTTACTTAATGTAGAGATAAATCTATAATGTAGGCTATATTAGGATATCACTGATTATTATTTTTTTTGGCATATTTCACATTTTGATTCCTAAAAATGGTGTATGAATAATAATACACACAAAAATTTCTGTCATATTATTCAATTTCAAATTTTGATTAAATACAATATAAATACATATTTGTAAAGATTCTGTCATTACTTATTGCAGTATCAAGCTCAATCATTCGTTGTTCGTCGTTTCGTGTATGTTTTAAGGGTTTAGCTTACCTATCAGGAGGAAGCCGTAACCCACAATGCGGTTTTATCAATGGCAGTGGATTCACATTTTTCACTCTAGCGATCTCCAATAATACTTCGCGAGGCGGAGGACTCGTGAACGACTTGTCGAGCTGCATTTGAACAGCCAATCTTACATCGTCAAGATCTATAGTCTTCTTTTTAGCGTGGTTTGCGAATACTCTCGCATCGTCCAAAATGCAAGTCACATAACGATAAATAAACTCCAGGAGTTGATTTACTACCCGTGGCTCATAATCTGATATTCCTACTTCTTTCATGATGGTCATTATTACTTGCGCATCTTTTGGTATATATTTTGTTTGTGTGGTGATTTTTGTCTTCTCTTTTTCTGACATCGCTTATGATAAATATACGTTTAAACAAAATATGTTATAAATGTTATGTTTACAAACCGGAACACAAATAAAATTAAATATTCAGAAAAGCTATCCGTAATACATATACATGCAATTAAATCGACATCGACTGTCATCTAACTGTCAATGTCAAAACATTAACAGGGCAACGAACTGTCAAAAAGATTTGTCCTTATAATTATGTCAAAAATCCGTAAAACTTCCCAATAAAATATTATTATTAAAAAACTAATAAATAGCGCAATGATTTTTGCGCAATGATTTTTGCCTTAATTTCCACATGAATGGAATAAAAACACATTGAAGGATATTGCAGCGAAAATGTTGGTCGTTTAAAAAAGTGTTTAAAAATTGTAGGAAATTTAATTTTATAAAATAATGTCTCTTATAGGTCCTTACAAATGAAATTGGCATTTTGTACGGGAGGAATATAATGTCAATTAATTTTTTGTAAAATATATTCAATTAATCAATTTATGCACCATTGTTATCAATGCACTTTTGCCATCTCATTGTTAGTTCATTCATCCCTTTACTAAAAAAAAAACCATGGTTGCGGGAATCAATAAATTCTTTGAACTGCCGAAACTTTGGACTGCCGCATCGGAGTTGAACTTTGTCTGAGTCAATTTTCGTTTAGGGCATTTGGCTGGGTCTCCAGGGTTTAGCCATTGCGACAAGCGCTTCCGATTATCGTACAGTGTCCACTTTTCATCACAAGTAATGATTCGATTTAAAATCCCTTAATTTTTGTGTCAGTTGAGCAAAGTAACACAGCAGTCGACGCGTGTTTGCGTTTTTTTACTTTTTTAAGTTTTTTTACTTTCCCCGATTTGCTTCCAGTGGATTAATACAGTTTTATCACTTACCCTGAAGCCTGCAGCTATCTCTGAAGTGCTTTGTGATGGATCCGCTTCCATAATAGCCATTTAATTTTTCATTTCCCACCTTGGTCTCCGGCCGTCCACGGGGTTGGTTCTCAAGGTCGAACTTTCCAGAACTTTGCTTTCTTTTGCGACACCAGCGCTGTACACATCGTTAATTCTTCGAGCTGTTGCGTAAATATACTTTGCGTAATCGTAATCTATCGTACTCGTAAATATACCGATATTTCATGTTTTCCATTGTGCGGTAATAAGCGACGCCAAAGAATAAAGTAATGAGGAAGAAACAAATGAATAACTGTTTTCAAAACTTAAATGTACCAGCTAAATGAATTTATAAATTTGAATTTGGAATTCTTAACCAAAAAGGAGATATTTCAGATCAAAGTGAACTGAAATGACATTTGAAAAGAAATTTTACAGCTGATTAGGTAACTTCTATGATGATCAATGTTTCAGAAACCGGGCGTTAGTAATGCCAACTTATTATATATTATACGCTTCTATCATCAGCATCCATTTTTATTACGTAGGAAAGATCATGTGTAGAAAATTTAATCGTTACATATTATCAACTGAAGCATTTTCATACAAGACCCAATTTATATTTGACAGCTTATTGAGACAAAGTTTTTATATCAATCATTTTACAAATAAATCTATCGCAAATAATTTTTTATTAAAATTTGTTCCTAGTCCCGGCAATTGAAAAACTATAATTATTATTATATCGTATTTATCCTTGTTACTATTCAAATTAAATTTCATAAAAAAAAAGAGTATGAAGTATAAGCCACTCGAAAACCTTAAAGTAGGTACTAAATTCTTGCATATTCAAATTAAAACGCAAAAAGAGTCACCAGTATTTTTTTTTTTTTATTAACAACAAATAATATTGCCCATATAAAAATTATATTTTATTGAATTTTCATGACTAACTAATTACGCATCATCTAACAAACCTTAGCAAAATGACATCTCGGAATTGTTCTAAAACAGTATTAGCCTTTGACCTTTATTATCAGCTGCCACAAGAATAAGACAAAGGACATGATTCTTTCAAGAATTTCATTGTGTGGAGACCCCACGGGCCTTTTTTTTCTTTCAAAATCTTTTATGTATCCCCTGCCACTGGATCGGGGGAGTGTCAGGGGTATGTGGGAGTCCCGGTGAGAAACGGGTACCCACTAAAAACCCACCTTGCACCTGTCTCTGTCGCATCGGCCGGGGACTCGGGAATACGTGGATGCAATAGCATAATCTGAACAAATAAACACTTATATGAGCTATTTACTTACTTAGGTAATGTGCATCTGATGACAGCCTAAGTATACGTTAGATCAGAGATGACTATTGCGTGGCCCAACCACAATGAAAAAGGAATGGGCTCCTCTTCATTAACAACTAATCCAAGATTGTTTTAAAAAAAACCGATTACGTTTACTTTCTTGTATTCACAGTTTTACATCTGCTTTTCAGGAATTCAGTTTTTTAGTAAAATTTAAGTATTCTTTTCTGTTTAAGCATTTATGTCATTCATTGAAAAATGATAAAGTTAAATAATTTACAGATTTCACTTCGAACCCCGTTCAAGACCAAGGAAAATATAGTAAGTACGATCCAATGGGGAACCGTGGCCGCTGTGAAGTGCACTAAGCCCTCCCCCTTCGCCGAATCCGCAACAGATTCCCGCTCGTCGGTCGCAATAAAACATCCATTTGTAACGTCATCTTGTCGGCCTCCGAAAGAAACTCGTACTCCGTCAAGCAATGCACCAGCATTGTCTTGATCAAGTTGATGGCGTAACGTCTGCCTGTAATATTACAACAGGGTTAAGTACTCATCCCGGTGTAGGTTGAATTATAAAAAGAGAGTAGCTAGAGCGTCAGGGAGTGAATCCTGAAGACGTGGATTCGATTTTCGTTCCTTTTTTCAAATTTTAATCTTAAGTGCAGAGATTAGCGCTAAAAAAATTTCAAGTTATAAAAAATAGATTGATTAGGCAACAGCGTTAACTATTCATCTCGGTTAAATTATAAAAGAGGGTTTAGGGTATAGGGTAAAGGAGGATTAAAAATTATAAGGAGTCATTAGAGCCCTTACCGATGCAAACCCGCTTGCCGGTGCTGAAAGTTAACAGTGTAGAAGCGTACTTAGAGGCCGTTGAAGGGTCCAACCATCGCTCCGGCTTGAACAGCAGAGCGTCGGGCCCCCAAATGTGTTTAGAGCGACCGCTGCCACAAATATTGAAAGCGCACGTCGTTCCCTTGGGAATTGTACAGGACCCTGCAATTTATACTATTGCCGAATATCTTGACGACGCCAATGTATGGGGTTAATACTGTTGATACTCACGTAGGCTAAAACAAGGCTATTATACCTGTACTATTATATTGTAAACTGACCTTTTAAAAAAGAGCAACTATTGAGTTTCTTGCCGGGTTCTTCTCAACAGAAACTGCTTTCCGAACCGGTGGTAACTTACGAACGTGTTAATTTCTTTGTATAATTTTGACGTTTCATAAGAACGCGCAAGCGTCTATGTGAATAAAGATATTTTATTATTATTATTATTATACCAGAAACAGTCACACTTGTCATAAATCCTCTGAGGATTTGCAGCTTAGTAGGAATTTATTGAAAAAAAAAAAATAGGTGTTATTATTTAGAAAATATGCAGGTTAGATCACCATGTTTTCCTTCACCGCCGATCCGTCACAGCTAGAGACCGTGGTGAAATGTTCGTTTCAGAGAACACAAGTGATCTGTGACGATGATTACTTACTAGCTGGAGAATGTCAAGGGAGCTCTGCTTGACAACTAGCCTCAACAAGCTCTTAGTCCCTGTCACAGTGAACGAGTGAAGGCAGTCACAGTTCAACACTCATTAAAGGAGTCACGGATAAGTTTGGCTGCATCTTGAAGTGTGCTTCTATTTAGGCATTTCTCAAGCCGCCTAGAAGATAACCCCCTAGATATAAGGCAACGTACAGAGCCCATAAACCATTTAAAACGCGTAGCTGATGTAAGAACACCTCCGGTTAAAGAAGTCTATAGTTTGTTTGCACACAATAAACCGCCTCACCCGTTACATAAGCTTAGAAAAACTACAAAACCTCGCAAAGCAAAACCGCCTCCCTCCTTGGATGAAAGTGTACTTCCTAATTTCAATAGAAATGATGGTTCTTCTTTAGGTTGGCATCCAATAACGACGAAAATTGAATCACACAATTACTGTAAGACCTCAAGATACTGTAAACTCCTACTGCGCAGATCGGACATTGTTGTTAGAAACACTTTTTCTCAGGTATCATCTATTCACCTTTCAAAACATCTCATGATCACAAAATTGTCCTGCTATTAAAGTTGGGAAATTATTCCTTCGCAACTTACTTAGCTGCACATCGTGTCCACGTAATGCAGAATGCCTGGCACCGGCGGGAACAAACGCAATGTCTCGTTAAACACAGCTTCACAGTAGATCAGGCGACCTAAGTCTCCCTTGGGCACGGGACGACTGGTTTCCCCAAACACGTGACAGATTCTAAAGGACAAAACAGCTGATGAGTTACAAAAAAAAGTTGTATTTTTCATTCGTTATGTTATCCATTAAGCTACTTTTCGGTAGAATAATTTAGATTTTTGAAATGATAAAGTTTACTTTAAATGTTACTTATTTATTTTAAACTAGTATTGGCGACTCCACTCGGAAATTTCTAATAGCACTCAATAATAAATACATACGAATCTTTTTCTCCTGAAATACCATAAAAATAATCTACATACAGCGCCTCAATTAAACTTAACTTGAGAAATTAAAGTGAGTTTTTGGAAATAGAAAAAAAAAATTATGTGAAAAAGTAGCAAATGATCTGGCGGTTCACCTGATGTTAAGTAATAACCGCTGCCCATGGAAGCAAATGCTTTAAGTAAAGTGGACTCCGGCTACCTCACTCACCAGACGAAACGCAGAAGTGTAACACTTCTACTTTACGCCGGTTTTCTGTGGGGTCATGGTACATAGACATACCCGGACGGACCTGCCCATTCCTGCAACAGTGAACACTATTGCGTGGCCAACAACAACGTAAAAACGTAAGCATTTGCACAAACCAACTCAAAGGGAAAGACTTACTCGCTATACAATTTCCCCTGAACATCCGGTCTACTCCCGAGTACTATTAATATGAAGTTGAGGGCAGACGCAGCGGTCTCCTGGCCGGCCAGCACGATTGTATTCACTTCGTGTTTGATCTGCTCTTCGGTCAGAGTGGAATCAGCTTCCCTCATCTCCAATAGAATATCGAGGAAAGACTTCATCGCGACCCTCCCGGAGTCTAGAGGTAAATATACTTTTAACATAATTTTTAACTCGTCCTTTCGGCGTTTGGAAAAATTATGAGAGTGAAATTTGTAAAACGCGCGCGCACACCCTCCCCCAAAATGCGACATGATGCTTACAATTTAATCTTGGCAACCGATAACAAGTTTTTGACATTTACCAATAATTCCAAGTTATTTAAATATTTCTCAATGGCATTTTGTCTTTACTCTAAACAAGTATTACTTCTTACATTCATAAGTAGACAGATACTGTTTTTTGGTCTGTGAAAGTACCTAGCTAAACTTTTTTTATTTTTGTTATATAATTTTAATATTAAGTAAAAACCCCTAGCAAATGTTGGGTCCATTCTGTTCCTAGTAATTAGACCTTAAACTTACATTATTCAAATAAATTTCAGTTTTAAATTTATCATAAATTTGAAATATTCACTGCAATTATTCACTTACTCTGACTTCCTTTAATTCCCACTTTACATAGTCTTTGTTTCAAAACCTGGAATGTAATTAAATTTATAAGTGAAGATAAAGTGATTAAAATCTCGATGGATGTAGATTTTTCATGAAATAATTAAAGACAGATAATTAAGGTCTACGTTACATTAAGGCATTACAACCACGGTAGAAATAAAACATTTTTTTTATATTTCAGGACACTTTTTTACACGTTTTCTTGTCCCAAACTAAGCAACGCTGGTTCTATAGGTACTAGGTAACTGAAAAACATACTTTTATTTAATAAATAAATACATATTATACATATATAAACATCCAGATACTGGAACACATCACACAATATTTTTCCAGTGGTGAGGATCGAACCCATTATTCTGGCATTTTTTGCTGCGCCTACCATAAACTCTCACCGCATTCTGGGTTGACTGGTAGAGGATGCCTTAATGGTAGAGGATGGCATTAAGTCCGCCCCTTGTTACCATATTTGCCTTATTGGCAATAAAGATTAAATAAATAAATAAATAACCCCACACCCTCTGAAGCAAGAGGCTGTGACCCACCCATTAGGGCAATCAGGACATCAGATTTGTCTATAAGATCATAGCAACGATCATGTGCAAACTCGCCTTTTCCGTAATACCGCAGACCGTTCTCGCGTACATTATGTACTCTCTGTAAGCCGATGTCAAGCGATACACAGCCTCGGAATGTAGGCATATGTTCATGGTTCGGTCTACAATCAGCTGTAACGCTCGAATGAACGCGTGAGTGAATTTCTCATCGATTATATCGCCATCAGCATATACACCGAGGGCGGATTCTGGAAAATTTCAATAGATTAGTATTCGATGTGAATCGATTGTTTTTTTTTAATGTAAGAAATTGGCAATCGAGCGGTTTGCCTGATGTTAAGTGATAACCGCCGCCCATAGACATCTGTTACACCCAAGGGTTGCAGATGCGTTGACAATATTTTGCAATTTGGGCTCGGGCCACCTCACTCACCAGACGAAACGCGAAAGTATTTCTCATACTTCCACTTTACGCCGGTCCTCTGTGAGGTCGTGGTACTTACCCGGACGAGCCTGCCCATTCGTGCAACAGCCGAGGCTGCTGCGTGGCCCTACCACCGTAAAAATTCCGTTCACTCATATATAACCCTCACACTTCACGTTGGTCTTCTGTGAGGTCGTTGTACTTCCCTAGATGGACCTGCCGATCCGTGCAACAACGTACTGATGATTGGCCCTACCACAGATTTTAAGTGTATCTGTGTAACCAAAAAAGTATATCGCTATTGGCATAGCTTTGCGTGGTTTCTGAAATAAATACCATCTTTTTTTTTATGCGAAAAGTTGTCAAACGTGCAGACGGTTCACCTGATGTTAAGTGAATAACGCCGCCCATGGACATCTGCCACACCCGAGGGTTACAGATGCGTTGAGAACCTTTTGAAAATTGGGCTCCGGCTACCTCACTCACCAGACGAAACGCGAAAGTATATTTTGTCATACTTCCACTTTACGCTGGTCTTCTGTGAGGTCGTGGTACTTACCTGGACGGGCCTACCCATTCGTGCAACAGCCGAGGCTGCTGCGTGGCCCTACCACCGTAATCTGTGAATCTTTAAAATCCTTTGCCTTAAAACCACACTACTGTCACGAAATTATATATTTGTTTATAAAAAAGTAAATTGTCAGCCTATACATGTCCCATTGCTGGACAAAGCTCCTTTCCTCACCGACAGTTGCTGAGTCATTACTAAAAAAGAATGTTATGGAATGTAAAGTCAACTTAAAACTTAAAGTCAACTGTAAACAAGACAGAAATTGTTAAAACTTTTAAAACTTTAGATGTTAAAAGAACTGCAGATCTATGGGGGATCGGTTAAGGTCATCAGTTCTATTATTGATGTAATATCACCTTACCTAGCAACTATTTTTAATATTTGTATCAATCGTGGCGAATTTCCTGACCTTATGAAACATAGTAAAATCATTCCGGTGTTTAAATCTGGTAGTACTTCCGACCCCAATAATTTTAGACCTATCTCTGTACTGCCAACTCTTAGTAAAATTTTTGAAAAAGTCATGTTGAATCAAATGTTACAGCATTTTAGCTCTCATAATTTATTACATAACAAGCAATATGGGTTTACTAGGGATCGCTCAACAATTGATGCGGGTGTTCAGCTCGTTATGAATATTTTTGAAGCCTGGGAAAAGTCGCAGGATGCCTTAGGAGTATTCTGTGACTTAACCAAAGCTTTCGATTGTGTACAGCATGAGACCTTGGTCAGGAAACTACGCCACTATGGTATAAGAGATGCCGCACTCAATCTTCTAAAATCGTACTTGAGCCATCGAATTCAGAAAGTTGACGTAAATGGCAAGAGATCTCCCGGGGCCTTGGTAAATATGGGGGTCCCGCAGGGATCTATTCTTGGGCCTTTTCTCTTCCTCATTTACATAAATGATCTACCTTATCTTGTTAATAATAATCATGAGATAGTATTGTTTGCGGATGATACCTCTTTAATCTTTAAAGTAAACCGACGTTCTTTAAGTTATGACGATGTAAACAATACTATCTACTGTAGTACATTGGTTTAGTGCTAACAATTTACTGTTGAATAATAAAAAAACTAAATGTATTAAATTTACAACTTCCTCCAATGTTAAACATGTAAAAACTGATGTACTTTTATATGAGGAAGCGTTGGACCCTATTGACTCAACTGTATTCCTTGGCATAACTATTGATGCCAAACTGCAATGGGGCCCCCATATTAATAGACTGGCGAGTAGACTTAGCTCAGCAACTTTCGCGGTCAAAAAAATAAGACAGTTAACTGATGTTGATACGGCTCGCTTGGTATATTTTAGTTATTTTCACAGTATAATGAAATGAAATGAAATGTCTTATGGCATTCTGCTTTGGGGTAACGCGGCCGACATTAATACAATCTTTATCTTACAAAAGAGAGCTATTCGTGCAGTTTACAATCTGGGCCCCAAAGAATCGTTAAGAAACTTGTTTAAAGAGATAAACGTATTGACTGTTGCTGCTCAATACATTTTTGAAAATGTTTTGTATGTTCGTATATAGATACGATATAAAACGGGTTTATAGTAACGCTGAATGCAATTGCGTAAGAAATAAATTGGATCCCGTTAAACGGTGAATCATTAGCATCGAAGTGGATGCGGTGAAAAAATCTTTAAAAAATCGGTAAAAAATCTTCATCATCACTTCATAGTATAAAACAAAGTCGTCCCGCTGTCTGCCTATCCCTACGTATGCTTAGATCTTTAAAACTACGCAACGGATCTTGATACGGTTTTTTATACTAGATAGAGTGATTCAAGAAGAAGGTTTATATGTATAATACTTGAACATTGCATCCGAGCAAATCCGTGCGTCCGAGTCCAACGGCACGTTTCAATCTTCTATCTACAGGTTGATTTGGTTACTAGCGATAGGTTTAATAATCTATGTACGCCAAAAATCAATCATCATCATCATCATTTCAGCCTGTTTGAGTTCACTGCTGAACATAGGCCTCCCCCATAGACTGCCACGAAGTACGATCCTGAGCCACCTGCATCCATCGACTTCCCGCACATTTGCACAGGTCGTCACTCCATCTAGTGGGGGGTCGTCCTACACTGCGAAGGCCAGTACGAGGCTGCCACTCGAGAACCTTTCTTCCCCAACGGTTATCGGTTCTACGAGCTATATGGCCGGCCCATCGCCACTTCAGCTTGCTAATCCTCTGAGCTATGTCGGTTACCTTGGTTCTACTGCGGATGTCTTCGTTACGAACTCTATCACGCAGAGAAATACCGAGCATAGCCCGCTCAAAAATCAATAAATATAATTAATACATTCGAGTAGTAAATTAATGGATTGACACATGGTTTCTGAAACGCCCGTTTTCTGGTCAATTCAGAGAGTTTAACCATCCTTATAGCACCTTATATGACATTTGAAAGTTAATTAGTTAACATCTGTATCTTGTATTAACTGATATTTTTGCCTTCAGTCCCGAGACTATTAAAGCTTCATCTGACTGTTAACATCTACCATGTTCAGTGTTTCAAAAACCGAGCGTAATTGTCGCGCAATATTTTCCTGATCGACAAACCAACTACCGTAGTGTGTGCCCTCTTACGCTGGGTAATATGTATTCGATCCTCGCTAGTGGAAAAATGTGATGAACATAGTATGAATAGTGTAATGAACATAGTATTTATAGTGTCTAGATGTTTATACATATCTATAGTACGTATTTGAGTTATGATGTTTGTCAATTATTAATAAGTAAGTATTATAGTATAGGTGTGTCAATTGTTAACTTACGATAATTACTTAAGTAGTTTGATATTAAATCAAGTTATGCATTAATATATTATTAGTACATTTAATACTGGTAGTAATTGAGGCTAAAAATAAATACAGCATCTAAATATTATATAAATAATAAAAGACAATTGGTTATATTCAGAAAACTTAAGTTTCAA